TTTCCTTTGCGGAAACAACCGAGATTTTTAGAGCGAAAGTCGGCGGAAACTTGACACTTTTTGCAGAATTTTGGCTCGAAAAGTTTCATGTCTATTTCTACCACCAAGGGCAATGTTTCCACAAAAAATCATTTTTTTCCGCGCGAAGCCGGCAAAGATACGACCAAAAAATGTTTTTCTTTGTGCTCTCCGAGTTTCGCATACTCTCTCAGCCGCAAAGATCGTTCAATATCTCGGTGGCGCGTGCAAAGCGCGAGCTAAGACTTTCAAGAATTGAGATTTAGGCTATGCGCAACGTGTGTGAAAAATTTAAAGAAAATCTGAACGTCGCACTTGGAGTACTTCCTTTCTAACAGGGGAAGTACTCCAAGTGCGACGCTTAGATATTGATGAAACTTGGCACAAGTTTAGAATAATTTTTTCTAAGATATATGCGAGAATCCTAGCTCGCGCTTTGCAGAAACAACCGAGATTTTTAGGTCGAAAGTCGGCGAAAATTTAGGACTTTTGCCGAATTTCGGCACGAAAAGTTTCATCCCTATTTCTAACGTAAAGGATAATGTTTTACAAAAAATCAAATTTTTCCACACGAAGCTGCCAAAGTTATGGCCAAAAAACGCTTTTCTCTCTGACCGTTCTCCTCGTTTAGCGTGCTCTCTTGGCGGCAAAAATCGTTCGATATCTCGGCGGCGCCCGCAAAGTGCGAGCTTAAACTTTCAGGAATTGATATTTGGTCCATACCCGACGTGTGTGCAAATTTTAAAGAAAATCTGAACGTTGAACTTGGGGTACTTGCTTTCTAAATAGACATAATTGATCTTTTTTAAGATTCTCGGTTGTTTCGGCAAATCGCAAGCTCGCAATCTCGCATATTGCCTCAAAAAACATTGCCTACATTTATGTGAAGTTTTATTGCGCTCAGAACGTCGTTTCGGACACTTCTCGCTGTCCCCGCTAAGAAATTTTTCAGTCTTTTTTTAGGTTATTTCTATCAATTCTTCTTTTTTTTTTTTTTTGTAAAATACTCTTCTTTTGATTCAGTTTCCTTTTATACTACCGATTACTGTAGATTGACGTACGACTTGGAACGCTCATCAAATAAAGTTTAGACTCTGGAAGATTCTGGAGATATTCATCGCCTCTTCCTTGATGACTCCAAACCGGATCTCACTCCACTTGCCGTGAGATAACGAGGAGATTTTCAAAAATTTTCAAGAGTCACAAGTTTCGTTTTTTGTCAGAACAGTTTTTGGACCGTAAACTTAATGAAAATGTATCTAAAATTTTTTTAAGATATGGTTTTTAAGCCAAAAAAAATGATTTATTTTTTAGTCTGACAAGCTGATTTTTTTTATTTTTAAAATCATTATCCAGTTTTTCTAACTTTTTTATTAGGTTTAGAACTATGACTTTGCCGTTTTTTCTGCTGATTGTTTTGATGATAGCAAAAAATTTTTACACTAAACCTTATCCAATTTTGTATTCTACTATTAATTACGAGGTGTTTCCGTAATTTGGTCAACTTTTCAATCCACCAACGAAAAATTTTGGCTGTTTTGAAGCCGTCCAAATGTCAACCCAATTTTTTGGCATCATTGTGTTTAGCGAAGCGCTGCTGCCTCAGATCGTGAGCTATCGGTGGAAATAAGTGCTGATCTGAAAGCTGGTTGTCAGTAGAGTATAGCGGGCGGGGTAGGGCCTCCCACCCCAGCTGGTGTCCAATATTTTTAAAAGGAAAGTGCTTCTATGGGGTATGGAGTTACAGGTCGAGACATATATCGAAAAAATCGTAAAATTTTTCTGATTCAGAATACGTAAAAATCACCTGCCGTATTTTGGTTTGTAAGGGCGAAAAACCTCTCAAAACTTTTATTGCAACACCACGCAAATTCCCCTTTTTTACAATGGAATTACTATTTAATTAGGGTTTATTATTAACCAAATTTGATATTTTAAGACTTGTCAAGACGCCAGGGTTTACTTTAGCTCATAACACAACTTTTGACTTGATGAAAACTTGGTCAAAAAAGGGGTCATTTGCGTGGTGTTGCGAAAAAAATTCTGAGGGTTTTTTCGCCTTACAAACCAAAATTGGGCAGCTAATTTTTACATATTCTGAAGCAGATAATTTTGCGATTTTTTTGATATATGTCTGGACCTGTAACTCCATACCTCATAGAAGCATTTTCCTTGTAAAATACGCTGTTTGTTACCACTTTTTTTAAATATTTATAATAAAAAAATTATTTTTTTCCATTTTTTCACAATTTTCGGGCTGATTTTTTTTTGTAAAATACGTTAATTATTAATTGCTCTTCTTTTAGCGTGGTAAACTACGAGAAATTGCATTTAGTTTTTTTAAAATTTTTCAATATTTCCCTCATTTTCAGGTTAAAAAGGTTGAAATTTCCCTTGCTGAAGCGCCAGGAACGGACTCGGATCTGTCTTTTTAAGACACGGTAAGGAAATTTGCAGCTTTTACAGGAATTTTCTTTGCTTATTAGGGAGAGAAAAACATAAAAAAATCTAAAAAAAAACACAAGTATTCGTAGGGTTTGTGGTTATACTTTTGTTTTGCCCCGATTGACTTGATTTTTGGCATGGTGGTTCTTTTAGATGCTCTCTTTGAGTATTTGAAAAAAATTTCGAAATTTTCAATTTTGAGTGACCTATGACGTCATGAAATGTCGAAACTTTGAGCTACCATATCTCGCTTCGTTTTATAGGTATCGACTTGATTTTTGGTTTTGTCGCGTATGGTACATAATGGGACAATCACTGTCGAGATTTTTTCGAAATTTCAAATTTTACGAAAAAAATCTCAAAAAATGACCTTTTTTCGTAAACGTTCGACGCGTCCAGCTTTATTGAAATGCAAGCTTCTACAGGTCCATATCGGGAAAGCAAATTCATAACTAAGAGATATCTCGATGTATGTGTAGATACGGCCATGTACAAAGTTACACTTCCAGAAAACCCCGTCATGATGACGGATTTTCTGGATTTTTTCAATTCCATTAAATTCTACGTACCAAACTTCGTATTTGGTCGTGCCTTTCTTTTTTGTAGTGAACTTCGTATTTTAGCCATGGCTTACTGTAGAAAATACGATTTGCACAGTGCAAAGTTCGACAAAATGGTTCTCGGCTCCCAGGTCGAAATTCAAAAAAATCACTCGCAAATCTTATTTTTTTTGCCCGAAGATTGCCCTCAATTGTTTTTGGACCTGTAGTCATCGTCATCTCTCAGAACCAGTTTCGCCAAAAAAAGTCGATTTTTCAAATTTTTCAAATTTTCAGTTTTTCAAATTTTTACCCCGGACGGTCAACAACAATGTCAAAAGTGCCCAACTATAGATTGTAGAGCTCGAAGAGCTCTACAATTTACAAGCTTACACCACGTTCGTATCTCTCGAATTACGGCCCCCAGAGCGGCCGGAAATTTCGGCCGAAAAATGGGCACCTTTTTCAAAAAGATCCCCTCAGGGCAACAAGCGATGTTTGAAAACTTGACTTCCTGGATGTGATAGTAGACAAACCAAACTACCATCATGCCAAGTTTCAGGTCGCTGCGTTCCGTATTCGCTGTGCACTGGGTCATCAAAAAAAATTTCGAAATTTTGGCCGAATTTCGGCCCTCAGGGCTTCAGATGGAATTTTTTTGAATTTTTATTTGTTCTGCCGGGTTCAGTAGGTTAAACTGCTATAGAAACGACAATCGAATTCTAAAATACGACCAAGCTGCGAGAGGAATATTAGAATTACAAAATTTTTGGATTTTGCTTACTTTGGCGAAAGTAACATTATCTGAAAAACAAGGTCGAAATCGAAAAATCCCGCTCTCAGGTGCACTTCGTATTTAGACTTCGGAGAAGTATGCAAAACCTCAGTTGTAACATACAACTTTTTGGTAAGATATTTGGAACGAAAAAAAAATTTCAAAATTAACATAATCACAAAATCGACCAAAACTCAAAAATTTCCAACCAAAATTCGTTTAAAAGTTACATATTCGGAATCTCCACGTCATTTTGGATATAGTCGTATCTTTTTTCCCGGTACTTTTAGTGCAACAAGTGCCAGTTTTGAAAGAACGCCCACTTCCATGACCGAAAACACAAGAAAAGAGCGCGGCGAAGAGAGAGAGCGGGCAGAGAACTGTTTCCTTCTTCGTTTGGCGGGAGAAAAAAGAGAGTGAGAAAGGGGTGGAGGGTGATTAGACAAAGGTTTTCTCTTTCGATTTCGGTCAGAGATAAGACGGAGAGAGTGCTGAGTGTGAGGAGGGTGGTACGGAAACTGTCATCGTGACGCGTAATGACGGGAATTTCTGGATTTTTTTTGAGAATTTTTGTAAAATTATTTTTTTGGTCCTGGATTCTCGGGATTTGGCCGTTTTAGGGCCAAATTTGACGGGGATTTCGGGAAAAATATTGGATTTGGATAATTTTGAGTGCTGAGTCTATTTTTTCGAGTTTTTTAGTTGATTTTTCCTTATTGTATGAGCTTCTGATCAAGTTTTGGTGGAAGGAAGATTGTTTTAGGTAAAAAAATGTAGTCTCGCGGCGGCCGTAGGCCGTCGCCTCATGCCGGCTCTTTAACCCGGCTAAGCGATCTGGGACTGACTTGGCGATTAGGGTAAGCTTAGCGATCTGGACTTTTTGACCTAAGACAAAGTCGGCTTGGCGTTTTGAACGCCGAAAGTTGCTACTAGGCTCAGTCTAACGCGTAGCGTTTTTCTGCCGCGGCCGGAGGCCGTCGGCAAAGCTTTGGTGAGCGTTTCTTCCGCAAAAGCGACTTTTCATCACAATTTATCTTCAAAAATGGCTCAAATCGTGCGCAAAGCAGCGAAACCGGGCGCAGGGTTGCCCGAGAGACGTGAGCAGCCGCAGGCTGCGAAGTCTCGAGCCCTAGTCAAAAAAAATTATTTTTTTTTTGGTTTTTTAAAATTGCTTTATTAATTTTAAACCAAAAAAGTTAAAATCCCCGAAATTTCAGTCCACAATGAGCCGTTTCGAGGTGTCTTCGGTGTCAAAAGATGATGGAAATGACTCGGAAAACAACACAATCTCCAGCCAGAAACAGCCCCCGAATTCCATAGCCATCGATGTCGGGCAGAACAATAAAGGTGAGGAAAATTTATTTTATTTTTATCTTATTTTATTTGTCAAAAAAAAATTATTTTTAAAATACGAAATGCCTTTATTTGAGCATTTAAAAATCCAAAAAACCCAGTAAAAAATTATTATTACCTTACCGATTTTTCAGCCGATAATTTCAGCTAACAGGGGAAGTACTCCAAGTGCGACGCTCAGATTTTCTTTAAATTTTGCACACACGTCGGACATGAACTAAATATCAATTCCTGAAAGTTTTAGCTCGCGCTTTGCGGGCGCCGCCGAGATATGGAACGATTTTTGCCGCCGAGAGAGCAGGCTAAACGTGGAGAGCGGTCAGAGAGAAAAGCGCTTTTTGGCCATAACTTTGGCAATTTCGTGCGGAAAAATTTGATTTTTTCTAGAAACATCATTCTTTACAGTGGAAGTAGGCATGAAAATTTTCGTGCCGAAATTCGGCAAAAAGTCCGAAATTTTGGCCGACTTTCGATCTAAAAATCTCGGTTGTTTCTGCAAAGCGCGAGCTAAGAATCTTGCATATATTTTTGAAAAAATTATTCTAAATTTATGCCAAGTTTCATCGAAATCTGAGCGTCGCACTTGGAGTACTTCCCTTGTCCCGGACGGATCTTTTCCAATTCAAAAGTTGCAAAAAATCCGTCATTTTTTTTGCGTTGGGTTCCTCCAGGTTCAGAGCTTAAAAAAACTGGCAAAAATACGGCCAAAAGTTGTTTTTCTCTCTGACCGTTCTCCGCGTTTCGCATACTCTCTCGGCCACAAAGATCGTTCCATATCTCAGCGGTTTCTGCAAAGCGCGAGCTAAAACATTCAGCAATTGATATGCATCCCATGCGTGACATGTGTGCAAAATTAAAAAAAAAATCTGAGCGTCGCACTTGGAGTACTTCCCCTGTAAAAAGTTGTTTATTAGTTTTGCAAACCCGGGATTAGACACTGTTCCCCTTACGGAACAAAGAGACTTTGAACGCAAATATTATACTATTTAGAACGTAAATATTACCTGGGTATTAACCTGTTTTCCCGGCAATTATCAAATCGCGTATGCGGCTAATTGCTAGGCAGATTATCGGCTGAGAATCTACCTTTGACTTGTTTACCCCCTCTCGAGTACCTAATAAGCAGGATACGTTATAATCTTGGATGACATTGTCTGGGAGGGACATAGATCTGTGTAGCAAATGGGGTGGGGATTGGTGGGGATAAATTTTGAGCTTAAAAAAGTGTGGGATTGTCGTAAAAAAGAGTTTTTGGACCCTAAGTTTACCGTTACATGATGATGACTTTTAGTAAGTCTTTGACGAAAATCTAACAGGGGAAGTACTCCAAGTGCGACGCCCAGATTTTGATGAAGCTTGGCACAAATTTAGAATAATTTTTTCTAAGATATATGCTATAATCCTAGCTCGCGCTTTGCAGAAACAACCGAGATTTTTAGATCGAAAGTCGGCCAAAATTTGACACTTTTTGCCGAATTTCGGCACGAAAAGTTTCATGCCTATTTCTACCGTAAAGGTTAATCTTTCTACAAAAAATCAAAATTTTCCGCACAAAACCTACCGGAGAATTTTCCTAAAAAATTTAGATAGCGATTTTATTTTTTTTTAAATTGGCACGGGGCAAAATAAATAACCCAATTTGATTTGTATGTCACCATCCTTATACAGGGTGGGGCATCTTTGTGGCCCGATTTGAATTGACTATAACTACTTTAGTTTTTGGCCAAATCTTAAAATTCTTTTTTTCCTGAATCCTCTGACAACCCCATTTTGTTTGATACCAAACATGTTATACATACATATAATAGTCTCAAGGAACTTATTCCACCAACACCGAATTTTCTTGCGATCTGGAAGTTGGGCATAAATCCAATAACTGTAGATGACACTAACCTATGTATAACATATTTTGTATCAAACAAAATGGGGTTGTCTGAGGATTCAGGGAAAAAAAGAATTTTAAGATTTGGCCAAAAACTAAAGAAGTTATAGCCAATTCAAATCGGGCCACAAAGATGTCCCACCCTGTAGAATACAGGGTCTTACAAAAAATGTGAAGGAAAGTGGAAGGCTATAACTTCCGGCGGAGGCGGCGCAGAGACTTCGTATTTAATCACCAGGAAATGTCGGATTTTTTGGGGGGTTTCGATATGGGTGATGTTGAAAAAGAGGAGGAAAGTGCCAACACTTGCAATTTTTTCGACGTTTTCTTAAAGTCTATATCAAGAAACCCCCAAAACATCTAACATTTCCTGGTGATTTTCAACCGACAAAGTCCGAAATTTCTCGATCATTTTCAACCGAAAAAACCTGGTTTTCGGGGTAGAGATGCCTCTACTTCAGAAGGTCGTAGCGACCTCAGTTAGCACTTCAAAAGCTTGTTATTTGATAAACAAAAACTTATGTCTGTTAAAAATACATATTTCAAATATGAAGTCTCTGCGGAGCCTCCGCCGGAAGTTATAGCCTTCCACTTTCCTTCACGTTTTTTGTAAGACCCTGTATTTTCGCACTGTGCAACGGCCAAAAAAGCCAATTTTTTCGAATGCACAGTGCAATTAGGGGGCGCAGGAAAGGTGGGTGCTCAAAAACGGGCTGTAGGAAGTGCCTAAGAGGCCTTGGAAAAATTGTTCGTTATAGACAGCTTTTGTTGTACGGGGGTTCTTTAAGCTATTTGCCGATGATATCTGCAATATTTCAGTTCTCATGACAATAATATTTGTATACGTAAACTGTATCATCCACTAACAAGGCTGTTCAAATACAAAAAAACAAAGCGTTTGGACTTTTCAAAAATTATCCGAAATTCCGCCAAAGCAAAAAAAAATTTCTTCCACTCGATAATCCTTTGTCCAATTTCTCCACTACGTATCTTTATCCCTCATTGTTCATTTCCAAATTTCTCCCCAAATTCAGCCATAAAATATGGTCGGAAAAAAGTTTCAAAATGAAAATAAAATTTTTATGTCTAGGATAAGGTCATTTCTCCCCCCAAATCAGGAGCGTTTATCCCGAATCGCGCCGCGAATTTTCGTTCAAAGATTAGAGATAAAATTTGGGAACGTGAGATTTAATTGAACCCAAGAGGAACACTCGTATTTCATTTTGAAATTTTTAGTTATTTTGACCTAATTACTGCTGCAGTAATATTTTACTGAGCCTCAAATTTTTGTTTACTGTCTTTGCAAAGAAATTTGTACGTATTTTGGATACAAAAATTTGGTCTGCCTGATGAGCAAATGAGGAAATGTAAGTGAAATTTTTTGACTTTTTTTTGTGAAAAAGATGAAAAAATTATTTTACTTCCTTGCAAGGTCAATATTTTAAAAAATTTATTTGCACTGTGCAAAACAAAAATGAAAATTTTCGCACAGTGCAATGGCCTAAAAAGCCTATTTTTTCCATTGCACGGTGCAAATTTTTCAAACTTAACATTGCACTGTGCGATCAAAAAGTAATAAAATTTCGCACTGTGCAATGACCGAAAAAGCCTATTTTTCGATTGCACAGTGCAAATTTTTCAAACTTAACATTGCACTGTGCAATCAAAAAATAATAAAATTTCGCACAGTGCAATGACCAAAAAAGCCAATTTTTCCAACGCACAGTGCAAATTTTTCAAGGGTAAAATTGCACAGTGCAATCAAAAAATAATAAAATTTCGCACAGTGCAATGACCAAAAAAGCCAATTTTTCCAACGCACAGTGCAAATTTTTCAAGGGTAAAATTGCACAGTGCAATCAAAAAATAATAAAACTTCGCACTGTGCAATGGCCAAAAAAGCCTATTTTTTCGTTTGCACTGTGCAAATTTTTCAAATGTTTTTGCACAGTGCAATCAAAAAATAATAAAATTTTGCACAGCACAGTGGCAAAAAAGCGATAAAAAATTGACCGGTGCAGTAAAAAAAATTTGCCGACTTGCTCCACAGTAATTTTTTTGGTGCGTTTACTGTAGCCGAAAAATTTTTTTGACGATTTTTTGTTTTTTTTTCAATTTGAAGTATTCCAGACTGCCTCAACTCCGTAAACTCTGAAATCCATTAGAACCCAATCCAATATCCCATTCGATTAGGGTCATTTTGCATTACCCCACCTCCAATCTTGTTACAGTCCAAAAATAGCGCAAGTTCTTTTCTATCGAAAAAGGGGGATAAATTGAATTCGATTCGTATTCTGCGCTCTTTTGAGGACTTCATTTTTTTGGCATGTGCCGGAACGTCACAAACAGAACGCAGATGCGAGATAAGCCAGGTCTCCGAGGCGTTTCTTGTCTAATCGCTTGAGGGCGCTGAAGCAAGTTTTGGAATTTTTTTGGAGGCTTGGAATACTGTATTTTGTTACATTTGGAAGAAGTCTATTTACTTTTTTCGACAGTTGGAGTTGAAGTTTTAGGGGAAATAAATGCAGGGGGAAGCTGGAAGAAGGCTTAGTTAGCAAAAATAATAAGATTTTTTGGCTTCTAGGATAGCTTATCACATATTTTGAGGTATTTTACATGCGTTCACATCAGTAATATATAAAAAAATGTAGATAAGGGTTACGGATCTTTATTTTTTTGCCGCAAATTTTGGTCTTGAAGCCTTCGCCAAGTCTCCGCTGAGCCTTCGCCAGCGAGGTCTCAAAGGCTTTTCAGGGACTCGTAGGTCTCCCACTTTTGGAATCTCCCAACCTCGAAAAAATTTTTAAAAACAAATTTTAGTCGATTTATGTAGGGTTCGGAAGGTATATAAGAAGGGTGCGTTATATTATTCCAAAAAGTTTCAAACTTACTTCATTTTTAGCCTACATGAAATTTTTGTTTTTTTTTAATCTAGGCAAAAAAAAAAATATTTTTTTTTGGCATAGGTGGTTTTTTTTCATGTGGGCAAAAAAAAAATAATTTTTTTTTGGCATAGGTGGTTTTTTTTCATGTGGGCGAAATTTTTTTTTTTTTTTGCATAGGTGGTTTTTTTTTTCATACGTCAGTCTGTCGGGAAAGCAACGGCGGACCGTCGCGCCTCGGAATCGCCCATCATCACTTTGCGACGGCGAAGTTTGTGATCTCAGAAATTGGAAAGATGAAGAAATGGAAGTAGGCTAAAACCGAGATTTTGGCCTAGTTCATGCAGTCGGTGAAGTCGGTGAAGATGTAGGCCAAAACCGAGATTTTGGCCTAGTTCATGCAGTCGGTGAAGTCGGTGAAGATGTAGGCCAAAACCGAGATTTTGGCCTAGTTCATGCAGTCGGTGAAGATGTAGGCCAAACCGAGATTTTGGGTTTCGGCCTAGTTGATTAAATCGAAGTTGATTAAATCGAACTAGGCCAAAACCATGATTTTCGCCTACTTCCTACCCGCTTGGATGAACTAAGCCAAATCCACGTTTCCGCCCAGATCATAGAAAATCCTAAAACAGGTGGCGTCCTTTTACCAAATCAAACGCTTGAAAAAACATTGCGAAATCAACAACTTGTTTACCAATAGGACGCCTCTTGAACAGAATGCCAAATAATTATTTTCGTGCCGTGACGCGAAATTGCTGTGGGCAAGACACATTTATCCATTGAATTTTTATTTTCTTATTGGTAAAAACGGTCAAAAAGGGATTTTCATGGTGTTTCGAGAAAAGCTTTGAGGAATTTTTCACCCTTACAAACCAAAATTAGGCAGCTAATTTTTACATATTCTGAATCAGAAAAATTTTGCGAATTTTTGGATATATAACTCCACCTGTTTTACGATTTTCTATGATCTGGGCGGAAACGTGGATTTGGCTTAGTTCATCCAAGCGGGCAGGAAGTAGGCGAAAATCATGGTTTTGGCCTAGTTCGATTTAATCAACTTCGATTTAATCAACTAGGCCAAAACCATGATTTCCGCCTAGTTCCTGACCGCTTGCATGAACTAGGCCAAATCTCGGTTTGGCCTACATCTTCACCGACTGCATGAACTAGGCCAAAATCTCGGTTTTAGCCTACTTCCATTTCTTCATCTTTCCAATTTCTGAGATCACAAACTTCGCCGTCGCAAAGCGATGATGGGCGATTCCGAGGCGCGACGATCCGCCGTTATTTTCCCGACAGACTGATATGCCAAAAAAAAAAAAAAAAATTCGCCCACATGAAAAGAAACCACCTATGCCAAAAAAAAAAATTTTTTTTTTCGCCCACATGAAATTTTTTCACCTAGGCAGACCAGATTTTGAAGTAGGCCACAAAATTTCATGTAGGCTAAAAATGAAGTAAGTTTGAAACTTTTTGGAATAATATAACGCACCCTTCTTATATACCCGTATATACCCGAAATCTCGGGTATATTCGGGTATTTATAAAATTAGCCTAAATTAGTCCAATATAGTACCAATATGAAGTAGTTAATGAATAAGCGGCAACTTATTCATTAACCTAATAATGTTTGGAGTGATAATCTTTATTTTGCCAACTACAACAAACAAAACTGGTACTTTAACAATGAAAAAGTTTAGCAATTTAGAACCAAGTTTTCAGCGGCAAAAATGAAACTATAACAAAATGTCAACATTTATTGATTTTTTTATGACAAAACTCAACTTTTTTTACATTTTTTGAATGCAAAAATACTTTGAATATACCCATAAATACCCGAAAATACCCGGCCTCTCGGGTATTTGGGTTTATACCCGGGTATATACGGGGGTATATACCCCGGGTATATACCCCGTCCGAACCCTATTATGTTCGTTCTGAGGCAGCGTTCAAGGGCAATAAAAATTTTATAAACAATTGTGAATTTTTTGTTATTTTAATGCTGCAGGCTGCGCCCTAGTCTAGAGTTTAAAACTATGCCATTTATCGCCTGTTTCGTGTATATTTTTCATTTCGAACTTAATTTCAACCCTCTATTCACATGTCGAGACCAAGTTTTTGCTCTATTACATGTTGAAGTGCATTTGGAGGGGTTACGTGTTCCGGAAATTCCCATAAGCAATCCGCGAAAAACGAAGCACAAGAGCCGAAAAATGTTTCCGTTAGACAAATTGTCGTGTTATTTTGGGTTTTTTTGACGTCAGATTCGCAAAAATCCCAGAAGAAAAATTATAATTAGTAGTCTTACAACTGTTTATGTTTACTAAGAAACTCTATACGCCTATGTAAAAAAATGTAAAAAGTTTTTCGGGAGCAAAAGCCGATATCCGAACTCCAAAGTCCTTGGGATATCCGAGAAAAAAATTTTTTTTTTCCGCCACTGTTTTTTATAAACTTTCCCCAGACCTCTCGTTCAAAAACCCCTCAGGCGGTTTTACGGCTTTTTTGGGGCTCAAAAAATTAAGATGTTTCGCGGACTCGGCATATTAAAACAGCACGTCGTTGGGGTGCGGCTTGACCTCGGTGGTTCGTTTTTAGTCCTAGAACGTCTTGTTTGGGATTTTTAAATTTTAAATTTTTGAAATTTTGGTGAAAGTTTTGTGTTTGGACTTTGACAAAAATAGTTTGAATTTGCACTGTGCAGAGGGATTTTTAGGCTTTTTTGAGGTCTGCACTGTGCAGAGGGATTTTTAGACTTTTTTGAGGGCTGCACTGTGCGGAAATAAAAATTGAATTTTTTCTGCACAGTGCTGACGAAAAGAAGTTTTGATACAGCAAATAGTATTTTTTAAAGCATAAAAGACTTGTTTTTGTAGCAATTTTATTTTTTGCACAGTGCACTTAAGATTTCTGGACTTTTTGCAGTCTGCACTGTGCGGAAATAAAAATTCAATTTTTTCTGCACAGTGCTGACGAAAAGAAGTTTTGATACAGTAAATGGTATTATTTAAAGCCTACTACACTAGTTTTTTATAGCAATTTTATTTTTTGTACAGTGCCCTTAGGATTTCTGGACTTTTTGCAGTCTGCACTGTGCAAAATTTGAAAACTGCAGTTTTATTGCTTATTGTGTAAAGTCAAGATTTAATTTGCATTAGTATACTTAGAATTGCCTATACAGCAATTTTTTAGACCAATTTTATTTTTGCACTGCGGATCGAGATTTTCCGGTATTTTTTGTTTTTGCACGGTGCAAAGGAATTTTTGGCAAAAATCTATGGCAACTGGGTAAATATATATACAATAGCATTTTTAATTTATTTTTTTTGTCATGGTGACAATCACTGGCCCAAAACAAACCTCCCGGAAATTTTAGTATTACTTTTGAAGAAACCTCGGGCGCAGCTCGCAAACAAAAATTTCTGATGCAAGTCGCAAAGCTTTTTTATTAATTTTTATTATGATTTTTTAAAATTTAAAAATAAAAAATACACACCAAACAGTTGAAAAATGTCATAGTTCAAAACCCTACACTAGGGCGCAGCCTGCGCCATTAAAGTAACAAAAAAATTTAAATTTCCCAAAAAAATTTTATTGCTTTTGTAACCTGTCTCAAGACCAATATGTACATTAATTTTTCGGATGCACTTTACACTTTTTGCAGGAATTTACATTATTTATGACCATTTGCCATTAGAGACATTAGCTCTGACTTGGCCCATTATCCCGCCCCACCCGCTTCAATTCCCATTATTCACACGAGTTTCCACATGACTTTCTTGGAGGTTGTAATTAGAATTGGGTTTGGGTATTATCGATGTTTTGGGAGAGATTTCTATTTTTTCAAGTTTTTTATCCGTTTTCGATTTTAGGGGCTTTTTGGAATAAAAGAAATCCTTTTTCATATTGAAAAAAGTAGTAGCTGCTACTCAGAAACGATTTTTGTACTTTTATTGTCCCGAAAAATTCGAAATTTTTGATTTTTTAGTCTTCCCAACGCACAGTGCAACAAAATTTTTCAATCAAAAAATTTCGTATTTTAGCCGGCGTAAATTTTCTGGATATCTCATAGCACAACTACCACTGCTACTTACTACCACCAAACCGAATTTTATATCCCACTTTATCCTCTGTCAATTTTTACGATCGTTTTATTTTATTTACTGCACGGTGCACCCAGTCCCCCAAAGATTTTACGAAAGCTCGAACAATGTCCTATAAATATAGTCCCACTGTTAGTTTTTGTTTCTTCTGGCGATGTCGTGTGGCGCCCGCAAAGTTTTGTTCCCCAGCGGCAATTAAGGGGGGACAGGAAGAGCGCTCTTATCTTGTCGTTCGCCTAGGATAACAACCGGGTGTAATTTCATCATGGGTTTACTGGGAATTGAGTGGAGAAGATTGTCTGGGAGTTCGGTGGCGATTATACCAAGGCTCCGAAGGGCTGCTGAAAATTTGGGAATGATTTTTTTTTTTGGGAAAAGAAACATCTTTGAAAACGATCTTTTTGGGCTGACAAGAGATTTAAAAGGCTCTACTGTACCTCCAAGTTCGACGCTCAGATTTTCTTCAAATTTTGTACACATTTTGGTCATAAACTAAGTATCAGTTACTGAAAGTTTTAGCTCGCGCTTTGCAAGCGCCTCCAAGATATTGAACCATCTTTGCCGCTGAGAGAGTACGCTAGACGTGGAGAGCGATCAGAGAAAAAAACACTTTTTGGCGATAACTCTGATAGTTTCGTGCGTTAAAAGTTGATTTTTTGTGGAAAAATTACCCTTTATAGTAAAAATACACATAAAACTTTTCGAGCCAAAAAAATCGGCAAAAAGTGTCAAATTTTCGCCAACTTTGGATCAAAAAATCTCGGTTATTTCTGCAAAGCGCGAGCTAGAATTCTCGCATATATTGTAGAAAAAATTATTTTAAATTTGTGCCAAGTTTCATCAAAATCTGAGCGTCGCACTTGGGATACTTCCTCTGCAAATTGTAAATTACATTTATCAACCATGAATGTCATCTTGTTCAAGTTATTTTTAGTCCATTCCTTTTGAAAGTTTACATTTTTTTGGCCAAGATTTGCATAGCCTTCCTTATGAAGTTATAGAACGTCCTTATTTTTTGTTTACCGCTTCAAAAGCAACCCATTATTCCCAAAAAGAACCGTCTATTTTTTGTTTTTGACCTTCGCAGAGACGTCTGCCCTTAGGACATCCTTACTTTATGCATCATTTCGCTGTAGTCTAAGCGAATTTTTCTAGGCCGTTAAATGTGCAAATTTATGCAAGCAATCAACCACTCTCATAACCTCTTTATTACGCAGCTGCACGCACGCTGACGTCCCAAGACAAGGAGGAATGTCATGTTTCTGACTTATTCGGTCCCTCCGGCGCTTTGAACTTTCTCAAGGTCTCTCCTTTTGTGGGCCCTCATAAGCTCTTCATGTTCCGCTTTTTCGGGGCCGCCTTTGCCGTCCGTTGAGCCGTCTCTGAAGAGGGTCAAAATCGAGGGTTCGACTTAAAGGTGGCTCAGTTTTTTCTAGGAGATTTCTTGAGAGTTTTAGAATAGGGGAATATCGGATTTTGATGGCCTAAAAATACGTGATACAGTAAGGCAATTTAGGGAAATTATGATGACTTATATTACAGTTGGAAGTCAAGGGTCACGTATTAATTGTCAACATATTCCAGGAGGTCTATCTAAAAAAAAAATACAAGTATTCGTAGGGTTTGTGGTTATACTTTTGTTTTGCCCCGATTGACTTGATTTTTGGCATGGTGGTTCTTTTAGATCCTCTCTTTGAGTATTTAAAAAAAAGTTCGAAATTTTCAATTTTGAGTGACCTATGACGTCATGAAAAGTCGAAACTTTGAGCTGCCATATCTCGCTTCGTTTTATAGGTATGGACTTGATTTTTGGTTTCGTCGCGTATGGTACATAATGGGACAATCACTGTCGAAATTTTTTCGAAATTTCAAAATTTACGAAAAAAATCCCAAAAAAAGACCTTTTTTCGTATCTTTTAATTAGACCGGGGAATATTGAAATGCAAGCTTCTACAGGTCCATATCGGGAAAGCAAATTCATAACTAAGAGATAACTCCATGTATGTGTAGATACGGCCATGTACAAACTTACACTTACACAAAACCCCGTCATGATGACGGAATTTCTGGATTTTTTTGATTCCATTGAATTCTACGTACCCGACTTCCTATTAGTACGTGTCTTTCTTTTTTGTAGTGCACTTCGTATTTTAGCTATGGCTTACTGTAAAAAATACGATTTGCACAGTGCGAATTTCAAAAAATTCGTTCTCGGCTCCCAGGTCGAAATTCGAAAAAAACGGCTCGCTGATCGATTTCTTTTTGCTCGAAGATTGTCACAAAATTTTTTCAGAACATTCTACATAGCCATGTCCTCAATAGAATCTCCCGACGGAAAACGAAATTTTTCGAAATTTTCAAAATTTTGACTTTTTCAAATTTTTCGCTCTGATGTACAACAACGATGTCAAAAATGTCCAACTATAGATTATAGAGCTCGAAGAGCTCTACAAATTACCCGCTTACATCGTCTTCGTATCTTTGAAATTACGGCCGCCAGAGCGGCCGGAAATTTCGGTCGATTTTTGGTGCACCGTGCGAAAAAAATCGCCCTCAGGGCAATTAGCGGGGTTGAACAAATTGATTATATGGGTGCTATAGGACACAAAATGAACTACCATCGTGCCAAGTTTCAGCTTTCTACTTGCAATATTCTGTGCGCACCGTGCGGTCGAAAAAAAAATCGAAATTTCGGCCAAAATTCGGCCCTGAGGGCTTGGAATCGAACTTTTTCGGATTTTAATTTTGTCCATCGTATTCAGCACATTGAGCTGCTACAGAAACAGATGTCGATTCCTAAAATACGCACAGGTTGAAAAAGCAGTATTCGAATTTCCGAATTTTTGGATTTTACTTACTTTCACGAAAGTTACTATACCTCGGGAACAAGGTCGAAATTCAAAAATCCCGCCCGTTACATGATAGACAATTTAGTAAGGATTCTACAACCAGAAGCTGGGATACGATTCCGAGAGATATGATCAGAAATCGTGTTTGAAGCGGCGGTCCCAAAAAATCCCGAATCGGAAAAGTCGTCAAATCCCAAAAATTTCCAACTAAAATTAGTCTAAAAGTTACATATTCGGAATCTCTATGTCATTTCGGACATAGTCGTATCTTTTTCCCCGGTACTTTTAGTGCAAGAAGTGCCAGTCTTGAAAAAACGCCCACTTCCATGGACGAAAACACAAAAAAAGAGCGCGGGGAAGAGAGAGAGCGGGCAGAGAACCGCTTCCTTCTTCGTTTGGCGGGAGAAAAGAGAGAGTGGGAAGGGGGTGGAGGGTGGTTAGACAAAGGTTTTCTCTTTCGATTCCGGTCAGAGATAAGATGGAGAGAGTGCTGAGTGTGAAGAGGCGGTAGCGAAACGGTCATCATGACGGGGGTTTCTGGATTTTTTCGAGAAATTTTTGTAAAATTTTTTTTTGGTCCTGGATTCTCGGGATTGGCCGTTTTAGGACCAAATTTGACGGCGATTTCGGGAAAAATATTGGCTTTGGATAATTTTGAGTGCTGAGTCTATTTTTTCGAGTTTTTTAGTTGATTTTTCCTTATTGTATGAGGTTCTGATCAAGTTTGGGTGGAAGGGAGATTATTTTAGGTAACAAAATGTAGTCTCGCGGCGGCCGTAGGCCGTCGCCTCATGCCGGCAGGCTCTTTACCCCGGCTTAGCAATCTGGGACTGGCCTGAGCTTAGCGATTAGGGAAAGCTTAGCGATCCTAACTTTTTGGTCTTAAAAACGCTACAACTTCCTACTAGGCTCAGTCTAACGCGTAGCGTTTCTCTGCCGCGGCCGGAGGCCGTCGGCAAAGCTTTAGCGAGCGTTTATGTTGTTTTCGACTTTGAACAGGTCCAAATCGCGCGAAAAGCAGCGATACCGGGCGCAAAGTTGCCTTTGTCCGCAGGGCTGCCCGAGAGACGTGAGCAGCCGCAGGCTGCGAAGTCTCGAGCCCTAGTCATTTATCTTAACGGCAATTTCACTTTACCGCGACACAATTCATTTTCTCGGCGGCGTTGCGATTTTCGATGCGACAAAGCGCTCACTATTTCCCCGACAGACTGATAAAAGTCCGTAGGCATTTAGGATATGTTTTGAGCTTACTGATGAAATAATAGAAATTAAATTTACCAAGCAAGTGCCATAAATGCCACCATTGGATTATAATGAAACTTGGCACAAACTTTGATTGTAGGCTTATAAGGAAAATTTACTTGCCCGTTCACAAAGTCGCTGGAATGATTGTGCGAAAATGGAGCGCTTTTCACTATGCAATTTCTTGTTTTTTTTTGCATGCAACGAGCATTCTTGGGCACGTCAAACTGAGATGTTTTACCTTCATCTCTGATCTCTGAAAACCTTTTAATCCAAAGTTCAATTCAAATGTATTCAAATTCCGAAAATTCCAGCCTCTTTCCGGGAATAAAACCTTTTCCGAGACCGTCCAAATTTATCTTTTCTATAGTACTCTGGCTTTATGCCATCGCTTCCTTGACTTAGCCAACCGTTGCAAGAGCGCCTCATAAAACTAGTTCCGCTCGACTTATTCAAAAAAGCCCTGAGGGGATGTCGAGAATCTTCTTGGACTTTGAGGTCATGTCGTCATTGTTTGATTCCTTTTTTTTCTTTGTTTCCAAAAAAAACGATAAAAAATGGCATCGTTAAGGGCGAGATTCTTGGCTTCTGTTGGCAAATGTACATCGCCTATTGTCTTAAGGTCGACGTTCGGAATTTTTAACCGCTCTTTGAGAGCTGTTGTTCAAACGGGGTAATTGACAAGGAGATTGTGGAAGTGTTTGAAGCGCAACACTCGGATCCTTTGTAAATTTTGCGCACACCTCCGGCATGAGTGACATATCAATGCCTGAAAGTTTTAGCTTGCGCATTGCAGGCACAGCCGAGATATTGAACGATCTTTGCTGCCAAGAGAGTACGGTAAACGTGGAGGGCGGTCAGAGAGAAAAAACTTTTTGGCTATAACTTTGCTCGTTCCGTGCGGAAAAAATTGATTTTTTATGGAAAGATTACCCTGTATGGTAGAAATAGGCATGAGACTTTTCGTGTCAAAATTCGAAAAAAAAGTCTCGAATTTTCGCCGACTTTCGATACAAAAATCTCGGTTGTTTCTGCAAAGCGCGAGGTGGAATTCTTGCATATATTTTAGAAAAAATATTTCTAAATTTGAGCCAAGTTTCATCAAAATCTGAGCGTCGCACTTGGGGTACTTCCCTGTTAGAAATAGCCATGAAACTTTTCGTGCCAAATGTCGCAAAAAAATGTTGCATTTTTGTCATCTTTTGGCCTAAAAATCTCGGCCATGCCTGCAAAGCGCGAGCTAAAAGTAAAGTCGATCCAGTTGCAAAACACGTACCATTTTGCATCCGGGAAGTATCAAAAATATATCAAAATACCTCCATCTCCAAGTAAAAAAAACCCCGATTTCAACAACGCACCGGTCATTTTGTTGGAGAAAGGGTTCGCCCTTCAAAAAAATCAATTTTTTCACTTGGAGATGGAGGTATTTTGCTGCGATCTTGATACTTCCCGGGTTCAAAATGGTACGCGTTTTGCCACTGGATCAAGTCCGCCACTGCACATTCATTTTACCGGCTCTAAACTGTTGATTATTGCTCGCGAATTATGTCATATACAATGTATATCGTATCTTTTAGCTTAACAGAGGGACCTTTATGGTTAGAACAGCACGAGTTTTACTTCTTTTTCAATAGTTTATACTCAATAGTTTATACTAGTTTCACTCAGAAAAATTAGTTCTCGATGATCCAACGACGATTCAGTAAACTTGGTAAGAGCTGAACAAAATATATTTCAAAAAATACCAAAAAAATTTTTTTAGTTCATCACACATACTCTCTCTTCAACGTATTTAACCAATGTTTTACTTTCAGACAGTAACAATGGTGCTGAACGGATACCTCTTTGCGACACAAACAACGCGGGTCTGGCGTTGTATGAGGTAAGAGGGGCTTTTAAACCAGTATCAATATAGGACTGTTACAAGGTTCGAAAAGAATATTTGGTATCAAACAAAATGGGAGATTATGAGGATTCAGGGGAAAAAGAAGCTTCAAATTTGGTCGAAAAATAAAGAAGATATAGCCATTTCAAATCGGGCCACAAAAATGGCACACCCTGTAAAATAATTAAAATTATTTTTTAATATTTTTTTTCTTTTTGTCCGTTCTCCAACGTTAATCTGCAAAGAATCGAATCATGAATGCCTCGGCTTTATTCGGACCGCGTGCGATAAAATCTTTACGTATTGATATACGGTCTTGTTGGGCTAATCTTGAGCGCTTTCTTTATTAGGTAAAAAATGATATTTTTGCAGAAAAAGTATTTCTCGAAGCTACAAGTCCGGACAGGGATTGATAAATAGACAAATCTTGAGCATTTTTTATTGAGTAATCTTGAAAAAGATTATACGTACAGTGACGGACCTGATCCGCTGAGAAAAAACGTACCATTTTGCGTCCGAGAAGTATCAAAAAATGTGGCAAAATGCCTCCCTCTCCGACTAAAAAACTCCGTTTTGGGTGCCTTTTCTCTCACCTAGAGAGCTTGAGCGGAGCTTGCCTTTGAAGCCGGAGTTTTTTTACTTGAAGATTGAGGTATTTTGCAACATTTTTTATACTTCCAGGATGCAAAATGGTACCTTTTTTGCCACTGGTCAGGTCCGCGACTATAAAAGAATGTGCAAAATGGGGAGAGCGCTCAGAAATAAATCAAATCCATTTCATCATAGAAATTGCTATGATATATAAATATATAGGTTATGATAAATACATACGATTACCACTGCATTATTTACCATTTCCTTTTGATTTGCAGGAAGAATACAACTCCCAAGGCCAGAAGATTGGCCAGATGCTCCGCTCCCTTTCCCTCTACCAAACAGCGCCTCAAGAGGACGTCGAAGCGAATGCTCCGTCGGCCCCCAAACAACCGGTGAAAATGGGTACCCTCATGGGTGTCTATTTCCCATGCGTGCAAAACATCTTCGGAGTTTTGTTTTTCATCCGACTCGCCTGGATCGTGGGCGTCGCTGGGATTGTGGAGGCGCTGGGAGTGGTGCTGCTCTCCTGTTCTGTGGTGAGTTTAGTTTATATTTATTTTCATAAATTACATTTGATGAAAATGAATTTAGTCAATTGTAAAAATAAATATATAATATTTGAAAATATTTTTTGACATTTTTAACGGTTAATTCAAATTTCGGAGCCATTGCACTGTGCAATTGCAGTTAGGGTTAAAAAAGTTGGACTGGCCAGATTTTTAGGCCAAGAAAAAATATTTGTCGATGAAATTTACATCAACGCACTGTGCAGGTAGCTTTGCCAATAAATCCATGCTTGTTTTGATTGAACAGTGCAAAAATCAAAAATCTGCACTGTGCAGCGATTTCAAGACACAATTTTTTGGGCTAGTCGGATTTTTAGACCGGTAAAAGTCAATTCCTCTTGTTATTTTATCCCCTGGCAATGTGCTGATATTATTTTCTGGCCAAGATATTTCTGGTTCATTGAACAGTGCAAAAATCAAAAATCTGCACTGTGCAGACGATTTCAAATATAAAATTCTGGTTCGATCGGATTTTTAGGCCAATAAAAGTTAATTCCTCTCGTTATTTTGTCCCCTGGCAATGTGCTAACATCATTGTTTAGCCAAGATATTTCTGTTTGATTGCACAGTGCAAAAATCATAAATCTGCACAGTGCAATCGAAGTTTAGCATTTTCTGCACTGTGCAGAGGAAATTCAAAAAAATTATTTCTCTAGCCTAAGGATCAATGTCGTCTCCACCTAAAAACCTCACTTTCAGACATTCCTCACCTCGATATCGCTCTCCGCAATCGCCACGAATGGAGTGGTCTCCGGCGGAGGCCCGTATTACATGATCTCCCGTAATTTGGGCCCCGAACTCGGCGGTGCCATCGGGATTCTGTTCTTCTTCGGCAACACGATGGCCGGCGCCATGTACATAACGGGAGGCGTGGAGATCCTGCTGATCTACCTCTGCCCGCAGCTCAAGCTCTTCGAAAGCATGCATAACAATTTCCGGGTGTTCGGCTCCGCCTTGCTGCTGTGCGTGGGGCTGGTGGTGTTGGCGGGGGTTAAGGTGAGGGGTTTGAGTTGAAAAAAAGAATAAGTTGAACAGTATCTCTAGCCACGATCACTTTCAAAAATCGCATTTTTCAGGTTGTAAATAAATTCGCACTGCCGGCGTTAGTCATGGTGTTAGGATGCATAGCGTGCACATTTATTGGAGAGTTTGTCAAGTTTAATGGAACCGACAGCTTACGGTAGGTCTTTTTTGAGGACGTACAAATCTCTGAATGTCCAGAAAATGTGTCAGGATGACATCATTCTAAAAAGCGCCTACGGTATAAATAACAGCTGTATATGGCTAGTAGCACTCCTTACAGTACGTCAAAAAATTTTGGGGATTGTACAGCATCTTGTCGCTGAAAAAACTCGCAAAAAAACTAAAAGTCTAGAAAATGCGTCATCCAAATTGCGCATTGCAGAAGTTTTGAGCTCAAATTTTTTTACTCGGTACTCTAGAGAGTATTTATAAACATATACAGCCATTGTTCAGACCGGTGCGGCATCTTAAAAATGGGTGTCATCGTGACACATTTTTTTGCGGAAAAAACATGTTTTTTTTTTCATTTCAGATATTGTGTTGTCGGCGACCGTCCAGTAAATTTGGTGGCCTTCTCCGAGAAGCACAAGTACACCCCGGACTGCACAATCGAGGGTCTTCGGGCCGCCTTCTGTCCGAACGCCACGAGTTGCGATCCCTACTTCAAGAAGGTCCTCACCTCCAACCCGCTGTCCATCGGCTCGCAGCGCGCCATCACCGGTTTCTCCAGTAATGCGTGGTCCGACAACCTTTGGGCCAAATACCGCGAAAAGGGCACCGTCTTGACCCGCGGCGACTCCACCAAGGAGCCAAAGGCGGAGAAGGGGAGCTTCTGGATCTTTGAGGACACCACAACCTCTTTCATGGTGCTGGTCGGCGTGTACTTCCCATCCGTGACGGGTATTATGGCGGGCTCGAACAGGTCGGGCAATCTTCGAGATGCGGCCGTTTCCATTCCATGGGGTACTATTGGCGCTCAACTCACCACTTCTCTGGCTTGTGAGTTTGCTTGCGAAGAGGGCTATATAACTGTTGGAATGCTGATGGCTTTGTAAAGCTCCTGTTCAAGTAGAATGGCGGGTCTGATCCAGTGGCAAAAAAAGTGCCATTTTGCATCCGGGAAGTATCAAAAAATGTAGCAAAATACCTCCCTCTCCAAGTGCAAAAACTCCGATTTCAAAAGCGCTTGCCCAGAGCGTCACAAACAGATTTTTTTTAGTTGGAGACGGAGGTATTTTGCTACATTTTTTTGATATTTCCTGGATGCAAAATGATACGTTTTTTGCCACTAGTACGCCACAGTAGTAACAAAAAGCTCAACTGAAACCCTCATTTTTCAGACATTTTCGGCTCTGCCTTTTTTGGAATGACCGTCTCCGAGCTGTTCATCCGCGACAAGTACGGGGAGTCGGCGATGGGGAAGATGATCGTCGCCGAACTGGCCGTCCCAATGCCTCTGATCATCCTGCTCGGATGTCTCGCGTCAACCATCGGCGCTGGAATGCAATCGTTGACTGGGGCGCCGAGAATTCTGCAGGCAATTGCGAGTGACGAGGTCATTCCATTCTTGCGGCATTTCAAGTCCACGGATCGCCGCGGTGAACCGTTGATTGCGATTTTTGTGACTTTGATCATCTGCGAGGTGGGGATCTTGATCGCTGTGCTGGAAAGCTTGACTGCGCTGATTACGGAGTAAGTTGATGGGAAATATAGTTGTGTTCTGGTGGATAGCTCAAAGATTTACAGTGATGGACCTGATCCAATGAGAAAAAACGTACCATTTTGTGTCCGGGAAGTACCAAAGTTTGGCAAAATGCCTCCTCTCCAACTAAAAAAACTCCTGTTTGGAGGGCCTTTACCAAAATAACTGGCGCGCTTTTGAAATCGGAGTTTTTTCACTTGGAAAAAGAGGCATTTTGCTACATTTTTTGATACTTCCCGGTTGCAAAATGGCACGTTTCTGCCACTGGATCAGGTCCGCCACTGTATTTCTTATGATAGTCTGCAGTTGGGGGTTTCGTTATTTAGGCACTATTTATCATCTCGTTCCAACTTTTCGACTCGATGACAGTTCGGGTCAACACAAAATCGATCAATGTCTAGGACAGGCGTAAACCCAAAAAAGGCGGTAGGAGATGTCCACAAGGACTGTAAAAGCCGTTGGATGCTCGGCGGGCGTTCCGCGAAGGCTCGGCGGAGATTCAAAGTATCCTCACTAAAAAGGCTTGCACTATGTCCATTTTTTCTAACTTTAGCTATTACTAACGTTAGTTTTCTTTACCGTGAGTTATTGTAACATATAAAAGGCCAAAATTTGGGGTAAAAAACGAAGATCCGTAACTTCTATCTCAATATTATTGATGTGAGTAGATGCAAAATACCTAGAAATATGTGATAAACTCTCCTAGGACCTGATCAATTTGATTATTTCTAATATCTAAACCTTCTCCAAGCCTTGCCATCCATATAATGACAAATAGAGGCACCCCAAGGGATCGCCGACCCGCACTTTTGTTGACCCGAAAAATCGTTGCGCCATTTGTCATCATGCCAAAGCAATTTTCAATTTTTTTCTAAAACCTAACGGCATTTTTTTCTTCAGATTCCTTCTGATGTGCTATTTCGGAGTAAACCTCTCGTGCGCGATTCAGTCGCTGATGAAAGCGCCCGGTTGGCGGCCCACCTTCAAGTACTATCATTGGGCCCTCTCGTTCGCCGGCGCCCTCCTCTGCCTCGCCATTATGTTCATCAGTTCTTGGCAGTTCGCGATCCTCGCCATCCTCATGGGCATCGCCGTCTACAAGTACATTGAATACGAGGGCGCGGAGAAGGAGTGGGGCGATGGACTGAAGGGATTGAAGCTTTCGGCCGCCAGATATGCCCTGCTTTCGGTGGATCAACGGCATGAACAACATAGTCGGAACTGGCGTCCACAATTGTTGGTGTTGTATCCGAACAAAGGTGGGATCTTTGGAGGAAAGGACGCGAATGAGACCGGTGACAGACTGCTCAGCTTTGTCAGCCAACTGAAGGCTGGGAAGGGGCTGACAATGGTGGCGGAATGCATTGAAGGGGATTACATCAAGAAGTTGGAGGAGGCTTCGGTAAGTCGTTGAAAACTGCCAAGCAAAAATTCAAATTATACAATTTGAAAAGTCTCTTTTGGGTCTCAAACCGGTTTTTGGCACTTTAAGACAATTTAAAATTTCAAAATTCAAATTTCCCGCCAATCTTGGCATCCTGTTTAAAGCAGTTTTTTACTCTAAAATGGCTCGATAATGGAAAAAGCAACGGAATCAAAGCTTAAATTGTCTGTGGCACAATAAAAAAAATGGTCCAGAATGTTTGTGTGGCCATATTTTACACAAAAAGACATTTTTTTATTTTTTGCACTGTGCAGCAAAAAAATTTTAATGATCTCAAAATTGATGACGTCACATCAAAAATGGCCTCAAATCCATTTCAGATCGAACGTCAACGCCTCATCGACAAGTGCCAAGCCTACAAAATCAAAGGATTTTGCGAGGTCCTCGTCAACGACACTTACAACGCCGGAATCAACTGTCTGGTCCAGACCTCTGGGCTTGGCGGACTCCGTCACAACAGTGTGTGCATCTGCTGGCCGGAAAAATGGTCCGAGACCAAGGCCTGGGACGAGGCTCATCGATTTGTCAGTGTGATTCGAAGCATCGCCGCGACAAAGTGCGCCATTTTGGTGCCCAAGGGGATCAATAACTTCCCGAAGAGCACGGAGAAGGTTACTGGAACGGTAAGCAATTTGTTTTGGATATTTTTTAGCCATAAAAAAACGATGCTATGTCAGCGTCTTTTACGGCCATTGAGGGTTAAAATAACACCAATCCGAGACCAGTAGCGGCTGGCAAGTGGAGGTGACTTGATTTGCTTCGTACCCTGTCAAAATCGGGGTACCTCCGAATTTTTAACAATAGAAAATCTCGGCTATGCCGTAAGGCTAAGCAATACACCCTAGATGAAGCTTCGATAAGCCCTCTATTAGTCTACAAGTATGCTGAAATAGGGATGGATCTGAGCTAGAAAATAATCGGCCTCAAACTTTTGCAAGAAAACGGTCATAACTTATTATACAACCTAATATATTCCAGGTGGATGTTTGGTGGATTGTCCATGACGGCGGTCTCTTGATGCTGCTGCCTTTCCTTTTGCGGAAGCACCGGACTTGGAAGAACACCACGCTGAGGCTGTTCACCATCGCCCATTTCGATGAGAACAGCACACAGATGAAGGAGGACCTGGAGAAGTTCTTGTATCATCTCCGAATTGAAGGCCAGGTGTTTGTGATTGATATGGTAGGTCGATCAAGATCTTTTGAATGAAATATCGACTGTTTTTACGCGATTTTTTTTTGACGAAAAATTGGATCTTTTGGAAAAAAAAAAGGAAAAATTGCAAGGAAAGTCCCCCAAGTGCAATGCTCAAATTTTCTTTAAAATTTGCACACATGTCGAGCATAGACTAAATATCAATTCATGAAAGTTTTAGCTCGCGCTTTGCAGGCGCCGCCGAGATATTGAACGATCTTTACCGCCGAGAGAGTACGCCAAACGCAGAGTGGTCAAAGAGAAAAACATTTTTTGGCCATAACTTTTCTAATCTTGTGCGGAAAAAATTGATTTTTTGTGGAAACATTACTCTGTATGGTAAAAATAGCCATGAAACTTTTCGTGTCAAAATTCGAAAAAAAAGTCTCAAATCTTCGCCGAGTTTCGATCTAAAAATCTCGGTTACTTCTAAAAAGCGCGAGCTTGGATTCTCGCATATATTTTAGAAAAAAATTATTCTAAATCTGTGCCAAGTTTCATCCAAATCTAAGCGTCGCATTGGGGTACTCCCCTGTTAGATTTTTACCTAGTTTTTGCCAATTTTTAACCCTCCAAAAAATTGGCCAATCTTTTTTTGCCTTCTCAGCTTTTTAAAACCAACCTCAAGGCCTCAAAAGCCTTCTAACCCCTCTAAAATTTCAGCCAGAGTCCGATATCAGCGAATACACCTACGAGAAGACCCTGAAAATGGAAGAACGAGTCAAATTCCTTCGCGAAATGAAAGCCCGCGAACGTCGCGACAGTCCCGCCACAATGGATGAGGTGGTTTTGGAGCGCCGCTTCAGCCGAATCGAAAGAAAACAGTCCAGCGCTTCGAACAAGGTGGACAGTCCCATCAAGACGGTCCAAAGCCCTCCGGGCTGTGTGGATATTGAGGAAGAGCCGGCGGCAAATGTCGGGAATAAAGTTCGATTCAGTGAGAATTCGATTGAGGTGAGGAAAAAAATTTTAAAATGGGATTTTTAAAAATTGAAAAATAGATTTTTATAAAATTTTGAAAAATTGGAAAAAAAATTTTTGAGACATTTTGAGGTTTTTTATTTTTTTTTTCATTCAAGTGCAAGGCTCAGATTTTCTTTAAACTTTGCCCACACATCACTAATAGGCCATATGCCAATTCCTGAAAGTTTTAGCTCGCGCTTTGCAAGCGCCGCCGAGATATTGAACGGTCTTTGCGGCCAAGAGAGCATGCGAAACACGGAGAGCGGTCAGAGAGAAAAAACACTTTTTGGCCGTATCTTTGCCAGTTTCGTGCGGAAAAGATTGATTTTTTGTGGAAACGTTACTCTTTATGGTAGAAATAACCATTAAACTTTTCATGCCAAAATTCGGAAAAAAGTGTCAAACTTTCGCCGAATTTCGATCTAAAAATCTCTGTTGTTTCTGCAAAGCGCGAGGTAAGATTCTCGCATGTATTTTAGAAAAAATTATTGTAAATTTGTGCCAAGTTTTATTCAAATCTGAGCGTTGTACTCAGGGTGCTAAAAAAATCTAGTTTTTAGTCATCAAAATTTCCATTGCAGTTTTTTCAAAAATTCTCTTCAAAAAAATTGGTCCTCAACTTTTCTTTATCTTCAATTTTTTCTCAGGTGAGCCGAGAAGAGAAGCCCACGACTCCACCAACCCCGGGCACTTACAATGTGAGGAAAATGCATACAGCCGTGAAGTTGAATGAGCTCATGAGGAACCGAAGTAAGGAAGCGCAACTCATCGTCGTCAATCTGCCCGGTCCACCGGAAAAAGATAGGGATAATTATTGTAAGTTTGTTTTTTTGAACTTTATTTTCGATAGAAATTTTTTTTTATTTAATTAATTTTTGCATTGTGAAAAAAAAATAAAAATGAAAAAATTGTTGATTTTTAAACTCGTATTTTAAATACAACACTTTATTTTCAGATATGGAGTTCCTGGACACACTCACCGACGGTCTGAATCGAGTGTTGTTGGTGCGTGGAACAGGCACTGAAGTTATTACAATCTACTCGTAATCTCCACCACTATTTTCTCTCCACTTTCTACACTATATTTCTTAACCTTTTCAATAGATTTTAGCTAGAATTTTCCCGCTATTTTCTCAGCTCAAAAAAGCCAAAAGTCGTTGTCAAAAGCTCGTATTTTATGTCAAAAAGCATGTTTGTTAGTCTCAAGTTATGTGGAAAACAGTATTACAAACTTCTATTCAGATTTCCCGCTCTCTAAAATACGGTATTCCCAATATTTCCCAAAGCATTTTCAAAGTCTCAAATCGGTGAAAACGCCATAATTTGGCCATTAGGACTTTCATTTCCCTTTTGTTTTTTTTGATTTTGTATTCCCAGTCTTAAATTCGTAATTTGCTCAATATTACGTCATACATAAGTTTCTCTGATTTTACAGGAATAAACAGATTTATGCAAAATTTTATGACATGCAATAAATTTTATTCAATTTTTGGTCCCATCTCGGCTTAGACCAGATATGAAGATTTAGAAATTTTTATTCCCGCTTTGCAAGGACTGCCGCGATTCGTAAAGTCTTCGGCCGACGAGAGAGTGCGCCAAACCTGGAGAGCGGCATACAGTGGGGGACTTAATTTAGTGGCAAAAAAGATATTTTGCATCTGGGAAGTATGAAAAACGTGGCAAAATGCTTCCCTCGTGTTGAAAGGCCCGACAACCCAGTAACGAGACGAGACGCTCAAGAGTCAAGTGATTTATTCAGTGGAAAGGAGGCCCTTTTATAGGGAAGCCGGGAAAGTACAATCAAATTTGAATAAATGTAGATCGTTCCTCGTGGGAAAATCCTCAAAGCTCGGTCGTTCCGCCTCACATCTCCTCCAAGCGAAAAAAACTCCGATTTCAAAAACGCGCCCGCTCTTTTTGTGAAGGCGCCCTTCAAAACGGATTTTTTTAGTTGGAAGGGGAGGCATTTGGCTGCATTTTATGATACTTCCCGGACGCAAAATGGTACGTTTTTCGCCATTGGATCAGGTCCGTCATCGTAGATAAATGCTTTTTTGATCATAGCTCCGCCCGAAATTTGATTTTGGCGTTGCGACTTTTCCGGTCGTCGATACTATTGATTGCGATACCGTCAGAGCCGAAAAGACCTACTGGGAAAAAGTCCACAAAAATATTGTTTCCTTATCACAATTTATATATAGATCTGAATAAAGTTAAGTACAATTGCTGACGCAAAATACAACAAACAGTTATGTACAACTACCTCTAACAAACTATAGTTTCTTTGTGTTGTTGAATCACGTTGCAACGTGATTCGCCGACCAAGGGAGGAAAGTCACAAGGTATAAACACACCAATCTGACGGAATCAATCAATCTACTGGGTTTTTTTGCGCAGTCACTCTACTCTTTAACAGTTGCAAAATCATCATTTTTAATCTATTTAGTCAGACCTTCAGGCTGTTTTAAAAAGTACTTAAAGCAGCGCTGTAATTTTGCTCCTGTAGTGTAAGAGACTATTACATTAAAGTTGGGCTTTTGAACTGCGCAGTCGACGGGTTTTGGTGCATGTACGATCAAAGGTGTGATCAAATTCAAAAACTTTTTGATTACGTCTGTATTTTCATAAAGTGGATGGACATTAAACGGGCCGGCTGGGCTCGAAAATTGAAATTTGACAAACGGGCCGGGCCCGTCTAAATTACAATGCCAAATCTTTGGCATTCATGGTTTTCGCGCCGGTAAAATTAATTGATGTTGTTATAGTTGCTGTTTCTCAAGTTCTAAAACGTTTACAAGTCTATAGTTCCATTATAAAACCACAAAGCTATCACACTGATCCTATACTAGCTAGATCAACGCCTTTTTTGCCTAAGTTTAGATCCCAAGCTTGGGCGCAGTTCGCAGAACCCTCTATAAACGGCCTGCACGGGCCGGGCCGGGCCTGGAAAAAGACTAGACGGGGCGGGCCGGGCCGGTAATTAGACGGGCCGGGCCGAAAATCGGAAAAATAGTTTCCGCTGACCACCCCTGCTCCCGAGCCCAAAGTCGGAGCCAAGCTTCCCAGCGGTCAGAAAAGTAAAAATTTCGTGATCTTGTTAAACCAAATTGCTTGAAAAAACACTGCGGAGGGTGTCACTTGACTGCAAAAATGTTGGCTGTATGATCTATGGTACTAATAACTTTTATTTTTGGAAAAATATTTTTAAAAAAACATTTTGCATAGGAGCCGGGATTCGGAGCCGGAGGCCTTTGTAAATTTTGCACGGAGCCAAGAGCCGGAGCTGCAAATTTGGCCTCGGCTCCGGCTCTGGGAGCTAAGAGCCGAAGCCGGAGCCGAAGTTTTGACCATGGCAATCTCTGCTCCCAATTACAATAAGACCTCTGAAACATTAGTAAAAGGTATCGAAAGAACAAAATAAAAACAAAGTAAATTTTTAAATAAGCGTTTTGTTGTATGGAGGTTCATTTTGACATTTGTAGTAAAATTAACTCTTGCGATTCTTCAAATTTTTTGCTAAAAACCGTGAACTTTCCAAATTTTTATTTTCTTCTTAATTTTGGCGAGTTCAAAATTAAGCCTGTTTGAATTAAAGTTGATGCCTACAATTTCCTTCTTGACCTGAACTCCATCAACAAATGGCTATACAAACGTGGTAGAACATCAACTAAATTAAAAAGGTAGCCTTGGTTTGATGTCTGAACTTTTTTTCAACCAATCATTACTTTTCAATGATCAGCTTGAATTGAATACGATAAACAAACGATGAAATATGTGCGATAAACTGTGTTTTTGAAGGCGTGGATTTTTGTAAAAATTTGTACGAACCTTTTTTAATCCAGCCTTGTTGTTCAATAAGCCTTTTCAACGTTTCCTTATCAAAACAAAAAGTGCATATTTATTGTGAATTCTACAAATCTCATCACGCGTTTTTTGCGCAGTTGTATTTCTTATCTTAAGTTCACGTAAACTTCCCTTAACGCTAATGGAATTTTGACGCCCAGTTTGAGTACTTTAAGCTGCTAAAATTGGCTTTTAATTTTTCTAACGTAAACTTTACATACTTTGCCGTTGATTTTTACCATCATTTTTAACATCAAACATACCTTGTATCTTCTGTAAGAACAACAAGTTCAACCTAACGTAAAACTGAAAACATTTTGTCATCCTTTTTTGTGAAGTTTGACGTTGATTGTTGCTATTATCTCTGGCGTTGATTGTTGCTATTATTTTTAACATCAAATCTACCCTCTATCTTATTTATAGACTGTTTAAAATTTAGACAAAAAATGTTTGACCTGGACACGATTGTTTTCCCCACGGACGTCTCCTACCGCTGGATTGTCGACAGTCTGCATGGCAAGAATAAGCGATGGGATGAACTGAACAAGAAATACGATATCACTTCAGCTGTGGCTGAGCCAATTTCTGGAGCCGGTTTCCTGTCCAATGTGTTGCGAGTGAAGTTCTTCTTCAGCGGAAAAGAACAAGTTTTCAGTGCAATTTTGAAAGTACCCACAATGGCACAAATTGGGAAGTTCAAGGAGGAAGAAGTAAGTAAAAGATATTATATTCTTGACGTCAATGCTAGACATGGCAATAATACAGTATTGAACTTTTGCAGATTACATATCAACACCTCAAAATTTTAGCTCTCGCTTTGCAAGGGCAGCCGCGAGATTCAGCGGCTTTTGCGGTCGAATGAGCACGCGAAACGTGGAGAGCGGTCAGAGAGAATTTTTTTACTGTATCTTTTCCTTGTAAAGAGTTATTCTGCATTTGTGATAAGTTTGATCAAAATACTTGAGATATACTTCCCCTGTTAGCCTTGCTCGGCCAAGACTTTGAGATATCCTAGGCCTCAAGGAATAACCGAGCGATCGAGAAGCCATGGCCACATAGTATGTAAATATTGTACAGCTATCAAAAGAAATATAAAAGTCGCTTTCGAAGTTTTCAGAGTCGTCAGAGTGTCTATATAAATACATGCTAACTAGTCATCATTTCCAGGAGTTCAATGCCTTTGAGGAATCTCTTCTCTGCTTCCACAACCAAGAAATCGAATTTTACACCAGCTTCGCCCGTCATTGTGATGTTATCTACTTCCCAAAGATGTATGGTTACATAAAAAGCGATGGATCAAAACGGATCCATGGAAGGATTTTGGCAGAAGACGTGGGACATCTTGGCGTTCTCCCTGATGTTTTAAAAGGCTTGAACTTGAAAATGGTAAGTCTAAATTATGCATAAATACCCTAAATCTTAGTGTGAAGAAGTGATAAAAACATTGGCTAAATTCCACGCTTTCACTTGTTGCTTCCTCACCACGGACCTCATTCTACGCATGCAGCAGCTGAATGACAAACAATGCGAGTACAAGGTCCGCGAGTATCTCTTCGAATTGGATCCCTTCTTCGAAGAGCATCGCGAGGAGATTCTCCAAATCTCGGAAGCTCATCAATGGCCGGTGGCGAATGCCCATTTCAAGTTCGGCGTGCCGCCAATGATGGCGCACGGCGATTGCTGGGCCAACAACATGTTCTTTGAGAAGAATGTGGATGGCTCTTGTGGCGAGAAACTCTTTACTTTGTTCGATTGGCAAGTCTCAAAAATTGGGACAGGCTTGTGCGATCTGTCGAGATTTTTGGCGACTTCAGCTAGTTACGAAGTCATTGAGGAGCATCTGGAGCACTTATTGAAGCTGTATTATAAGACTATGGAGGAGAGTATGAACAAAAAAGGGAGAAAAGTTCCTTATGACTATGAAAAGGTGAGGATGTTTCCTAAAATCTCATATTTTCTTGCATTTTTAGTGCAAAGCCATGTTCCGTTACGAATTCCCGAATGAGTTCCTCTTCTGTGCGCTAGTACTACCATTGCTGGTCAATAAAACAGACGATGAGAAGATTAGAAAAGGGGTGTTGAGAAGGATGAAAGCCGCCTTTTTCTATGCCAGAGATTGTGCCAAAGAAATTGGAACGTTGTAAAATGTGGATTTCATGTAATCATAAGTATAATATATAAAACGTCATCATTACCTAGTAAAGCATCACAAATTTTTTTACTTAACCCACTTTTTGGCGTAAATTTGTAAAAGGTATCTCGTTGAAATGTTGCACAAACTATAAAGCACCTATCGCTGTGGAAGAAAACGATTTTTTTGTATACCCGGTCACTCGAGTTCACGACGCTCTGTCGAGAAGTCGCTAGGTGTTTTTATTGATGTTTCTGCTGAGATTTTGGTCTGCGAAAGAGAAGTTGGACGTGAGGGCCGACGTTGGTCAGCAGGGAAATCTAGGAACTCAAAGTCGCGTCCCGACTTTTCTGGTTGACCACCAATCGATACAAAGCGTAGGGCAGGTGGATACCCAAAAAAGGGCTGTAGCAAGTGCCTACGAGGCCTGACAAAGCCGCTAGATGGTCAGCGGACGCTCGGCGAAGACTTTGCAAAGATTTGTATTATATCCGCTTTTTCTAATTTTATCTATTACTGACGTTAGCTTTCTTTACCCTCAGTTATTGTAACATATCTAAGACCAAAATGTGCGGCAAAAAACAAAGATATGTCACTTTTATCTAGATTAAGATATCCTAGGATCCAAACAATCTTGTTATTTCTACTAAGCCTTCTCTTAGCCTCTCCCGTGCATCATACAACAACAACTTGACGCGATCTGTAGCATAAAAAAGGTCATCGCGCCCTCAAAAGCAGCGCACCACGAGATAGTCAAGCTGAATTGCAAGGATCTCCGGTTTACACTTTTCAAAAACTACGTTTTCTCCAACAACAGTCAAACCTCTGTGCAACAAATCACAAGACCAAAAAACTTCTTTGTTACATTGGGTTTGTCAGCTTTAGATGAGCTCTTAAAATTGACTCTCTAGACTCTGAAATTACTCGCTGTGGAGGTTTTGTTATACGGGGGGTTTCTCAGAAGACGTGCCACTTCATCATGATCATTGGGTTCAACACCGCTTGCAACGTGGTTGAGAGTCTCAGCAGGGAAGTCACAAGCCATAAGCAAAAGGATGCGACGACAGTCATCAATCTACCGGCATTTTTGCGCAGTCACTCTACTTTTTAAACCCATTACAAAGTCATCATTTTTAATACATGTGGTCTGCCCTCAGTGATCTGTGAACAGTATTTAAAGCAGCGCTGTAATATTGTTTCGCATTGCAAGACTATTACATTAGGGTTGGACCCTTGACCTGGGCAGCAGGGGGATTTCGGAATGCAGGGTTCAACCAGGGTTAAAAAAGGGTTCATTATTTTACAGACAAGGCTAGGAAAAGGGTTTGTTTGTAGAAATTATAAGATTGACCGGGTCCTAGGATACTTTACGCTGAATTTTTTCTATAACGAACAATTTCAGAGGTCTCAAGAGTCAATTTTAGGCTTATGATCGTCCGCAGAACAAACCCCAAACGAATGTCTTCTTGCTTCTTTGCCATTTGTTCTCCATGAGCCTACTGTATCTTTTTTAAAGACTAATCAAAACAAAAAATTTTGTTTTTTCTACTTTATTGCACTTTTTGTTAATGGATTCACCTTTACAAACTGTAATATTGCCACTTTTGACCCTCATCAAAACAACAAGTGCAACCCTAACGTAAAACTGACGAAATTTTGTCATCCTTTTTTGTGAAGTTTAACTTTACTCTGGCGTTGATTGTTACTATCATTTTTGGCATCAAAAATATCTTGTATTTTCTTTATAGACTGTTGTAAGTTTTGATAAAAAATGTTCGACCTGGATACGATCGTCTTCCCCACGGACGTTCCCTACCGCTGGATTGTCGACAGCCTGCATGGCAAGGATAAGCGATGGGATCAACTCATCAGTAAATACGATATCATCTCAGCTGTCGCTGAGCCCATTTCTGGAGCCGGTTTCCTGTCGAATGTACTGAGAGTCAAGTTCTTTTTTGGCGGAAAAGAACAAGTTTTTAATGCAATTTTAAAAGTTCCAACAATGGCGCGGATGGCGCAGTTCAAGGAGGGAGAGGTGAGCTGAGATTTGTATAAATCTTTGGCCTTCAACATTCGACTTTTTACAAGAGGGAAAGGGAAAGTTACTAGTCCGTTCACTACAGTTGCGGTCCTGATCCAGTGGCAAAAAAACGTACCATTTCGCATCCGAGAAGTATCAAAAATGTGGCAAAACGCTTCCCTCTCCAAATGGAAAAACTTCGGCGCGCCGTTTCCCTCACAAAAAGAGCGGGCGCGCTTTTGAAATCGGAGTTTTTCACCTGGAAATGGAGGTATTTTGCCACATTTTTAATACTTCCTGGATGCGAAATGGAACGTTTTCTGCCACTGGATCAAGTCCGCCATTGCAGAGGGATTCAATTAAATTTTTTTTATATGACCTGTGGGCCAGAGGGTTTAAATGCATGACATTTCTTGGATTACAAAATTCTGAAAAATTCAGTTCTTTAGCGAAACCCCACAATTTTTTAATGCGTTCACCTTGCACTGAGCAGTTTCTTGGTTTTTGCATATTCTTTTTAGGGCTGTCGCTCGCAACCTGACCTTTTCCGCACAGTGTAAAAATCACTCCAGCGACTCTAGGAACGGACTAGTATGGGAGAAGCCGAGGGGATTCGCAGAAAATTTAAAAGGGAAAAATCAACTCAATTTTTAAGCGGGTACAACACTAAAAATAAGCGAATTTTGCATTTTAAGTCAATAATGAAAAACCTGCCACTATGACGTTCCACGAATTGTTAATGCTACCTACCCTAAAAAAATAAAAATGGGTTGGCCATTGATTTATGTCATCATTTCCAGGACTTTGATGTCTTCGAAGAATCTCTTCTCTTCTTTCACAACCAAGAAATCGAATTTTACACCAGCTTTGCCCGTCATTGTGATGTTCTCTACTTCCCAAAGATGTACGATTTCATTAAAAGCGATCGAGCAAAGAGGGTTCATGGCAGGATACTTGCCGAAGACGTTGGACATCTTGGAGTTCTCCCTGACGTTTTAAAAGGCTTGGACTTGAAAATGGTGAGCCTGAATTACAGTGACAGACCTGATCCAGTGGCAAAAAACGTGCCATTTTACATCCGGGAAGTATCAAAAATGTGGCAAAATGCTTCCTTCTCCAAGTTAAAAATCTTTAAAGAGCGGGCGCGCTTTTGAAATTGGAGTTTTTCCGCATGGAGAGGGAAGCATTTTGCCATATTTTTGATACTTCCCGGATGCAAAATGGTACGTTTTTCGCCACTGGATCAGGCCCTTCGCTGTATACATAAATAATCTAAATTTTAGTGCGAAGAAGTGATGAAGACCTTGGCCAAATTCCACGCTTTCACTTGCTGTTTCCTCACGCCTGATCTCATCCGCCAACTGCAGGAGATGAATGAGAATCAAATCGATTACAAAGTGAATGAAAACCCCTTTCAAATGGATCCATTCTTCGAAGAGCATCGTGACGAGATTATGCAGCTATCTGATGGCCATCGTACCCCTATAAACGATGCCCATTCCCTGTTCGAGATAGCCCCGATCATGGCGCATGGCGATTGCTGGGCCAACAACATGTTCTTCGAGAGGAAATTGGATGGGTCTTGTGGCGAAAAACTTTTTACTTTATTTGACTGGCAACTGACAAAAATTGGAACGGGTTTATCCGATTTGTCGAGATTTTTGGTGACTTCGGCTAGCTACGAAGTCATTGAGGAGCATCTGGAGCACTTATTGAAACTGTATTATAAGACTATGGAGGAGAGTATGAACATAAGAGGGAGAAAAGTTCCTTACGACTATGAAACGGTAAGGAGATTTCTAGGAAAGGCTTTTTGTGAGGGAATTTAAATCCTCAAGACCCTCAGGTCATATAAAAAATCTCACTTTTTAATTGAGCCCCTTTACAGTGGCGGACCTGATCCAGTGGCAAAAAACGTACCATTTTGCATCCGGAAAGTATCAAAAAATGTGGTAAAATACCTCCCTTTCCAAGTGAAAAAATTCCGATTTCAAAACCGCTCTTTTTGTGATGGAAAAAGCCCGCCTAGACATGGCTAGTGGGCCGGGCCGAAAAAATTTGAAGGGGGCCGGGGCCGGGCCGACCTCTTCCGGCCCCCGGGCACGTCAAGAAAAAATAAAAGAAAAACGGGCGTCCAATGAAAAAGCCTAGAATTTTTTTTGGCATTCTGACCTGTGCAAATTCGTTTTTGTCCAAATGGTTTGCAATATTTTGACATAAAGATTAATAGTAAATCACAAGATATTGGTACCAATAGAAAGCTCGAGAGTTGCTTAAGCTAATAGAACCAAAATATACCCATAATCATAGTGTTTTGATAGTCTTCCAAGGCGAAGAATACAGCGTCTAAATAAAAGTTTGTATCGACGATACCGAGTCAGAGAGCACTGGATGGGGGTATAGGCTCTACGTCAAAAAAATCCTTAAACTGTTCTTCGAGTATCTACACCGGTCTCGTCCCGGTTGATGGGACAGTTTTTTTGATATTCGGCCATGAAATTTGCACTATTTTTAGCCTAGCTTGAACCGTGTTCAGAAAATGCGTCACGATGACACCCATTTAGAATGTGCCAGCGGTATAAAAAACAGTTGTATACGACTACCAGTACTCTCTAGAGTTCCCATAAAAAAAATTAGGTTAAACATTGTTGTTATGTGCGATTTGGATGACAGATTTTATGATTTTTTTTTCGCTGTGAGAACCTTTGCAATGCCCGAGATTTCTTGACGTGCCGGGCCGGGCCGCGATTTTCGGCCCGGCCCGGCCCCCCAGCCATGTCTAGGCCCGCCCTTCAAAACGGAGTTTTTTTAGTTGGGGAGGGAGGTATTTTGCTGCATTTTTGATACTTCCCGGATGAAAAATTGTGCGTTTTTTGCCACTGGGTCAGGTCCACCACTGTAGACATGGCTTTCCAAAAATTTTCCGCCCGCCCTCGGGCTTTGATTTTCAGGCTCGGGCCTGCCCGGTTTTAAAGAAAATTCGGATTTTCCAAGAATTCTCAAAAGTATGACGAAATTCCGGATGGAATGGCAAGAGTTTCTTGGCTTCCCAAAATCCGGCTATGGAGACAAAAAGTCCTGATAATTTTGCATCGTGCGGTTTTGCACATTTTGGAACAACGTTGCAAAACTTGTGAAAAAAGGGCTTGGGTTTCGACCACGCTTATTTCGAAAATCTTATTCATTTTTTCTGATTTGAAAACAGCACCATCGAAAACCCCCAAATCGAGTATTCATTAAAAAATTGAAAAAATGACTGCTTTACAGTACTACCTAACAATAAGGAAAAAAGTAAAGATCAAAAAAAAATTAATGTCATTTTCGAAATCAGAACCCTCGATTATCCTAATTTCGACGCTTGCATCGAAGAAAAATAATACTTTTCGGGTTCCCCAATCGTCCCAGTTCCATGCAAAATTATCAGGACTTTTTGTTTCGACTAGATATTTCCGAAAAATCTCATATTGTCTTGGATTTTCAGTGCAAAGCCATGTTCCGATACGAATTCCCGAACGAGTTCCTCTTCTGCCTCGTGGTACTGCCAGTGCTGGTCAGCAACACAGACGATGAGAAGATTAGAAAGGGGGTGTTGAGAAGGATGAAAGCCGCCTTTTTCTATGCCAGAGATTGTGCCAAAGAAATTGGAACCATGTAAAATAGAAATTAATTGTAACTAAGAGCTTAATATTGTTTTATTTGTAAATAAAACAACAGATATAGCTTCAAAAATATCATATTTATCCGACTACTCCAAATAAAAGACTATGCCAACAACAAACTATATGTACAAGGATAATAATTTAATCAGATATGTTGAAAGCTAAATACGCCAATTCTTGGTCAATCTACCCTCGTGCCAAGTAGTAGACCACAAGGAACACGAAGAAGGCGAAGAGAACCAGATAACATAGAACTCTGTTACCTAAAATTTGGTAAGGTCAAAATGATGAACTTTGTATTCTAAAAATGAAAAAAACAATGAAGAAACTACTTACCACCGGCACGTGACACCAATCCTAGTTTCTTCATCGTTTGTCCGAGAAGTGTGTTGGAAAGATCAAAGTCGCCCTCCTGAAAAGGAACAGTAAGAGAGGTAAATTTCAATTATAAACAGTTATAGGGCACATTAAACGTACTCTGTGTGTTTCAAACCTCGAAAACGGCTGGCTGTATATTTTTTGAATCAACTGTTATGAACAATATCAAAAATAGGCCATAACAAAATTTACGAAACTCTGATCAAGCCTAGACATAATACATCGATTGTAAACCACATGAAGCAACTCTGTACCAAATTTGGCAAGTTAGAGGTCTTTTGAAGGACAACCCCGATCGTCTTTACAAATTCTTGCAAGGACAACCAAAATTAATATCTCATTTTTCCATCCATCACCTAAACCTCAAAAGCCAAGCCAAAAACTTACCATAGAACTAAGAAGCCTATTTTGCTCTCGCACATCGTCTCCAATTGCTATTGTTACCCTTTTCAATTGCTGGACCTTGGAATGAAGGTCCTCTGTCAGCTGGTCATTTTGTTGTTCAAGGAATTGACCATGATTATCATATCCAGTAGAGCCTAAAACACGATAAAATTATAAATAAACGGACAAAAAGTCTATCTCTGTACCTTTACCTGGGCGATACGACATTATAGCCAAGGATACTGGTCAAAAGCTTGAGTTGAACCTCCAAAAAAAATAAAAAGGATTATAAAGTGTAGGTTGTACTTTTCCAACGATTAGTCAGCCGAAATTTACTACGAATCCGGCTAGCCAACGAGAGGAACACGTAGAACACGTCACACGAAAAAATATTTTTTCCAGAAATCGATGTCTAACGAAATGTCAAACAATTATTGGATTTTAGAAAATATTTATTTATTTTTTGCAAAATTTGAGGAATGGTTTTAAAATTTGTAATGCAGATCAATGATCAAGCTTTTTCAGAACCGGTAGACCATGTAAATCGCTGTGAAAACAAAGTAACCGAAGACCAGAAGGTAACAGACAAACTTATTACCTAAAAACCAGAAATTCTATTACCTAAAAAATGATCTCCTAGAAAACTCAACACATACTGTTGCTTTCGACGTCCTATAGGTAATTTCATCCACGGATCAGGTCAAAAACACTCACCGACGACGAGATTCTCGTTTGAAAATCATAATTCGTTGATGGAAAACGAAATGTCTCAGATTTTATTGGTTTTTTGGCACTTCGCTTCCATTTTTGGAAATTCTCTCGAGAAAATTTTGTCAACTGGCCAAAATGCGTTTATGGCTGCATTTTCGTGTTTGATGGGTTCCAGGCGATCTCCTTCACTAACAATGTAATTGAGGTATGTGTTTTCCTTTTCTTTTGAGTTTAGATCTGTCTTCGGAAAAGAGAGGCATGTATAATTGTTCGGAGATGAGTCTAGACGCGAAGAAAGAACGGCCGAGGGGATATTTTTTCAAGGAAGCGGCATTTTATACTTTGAACTGGATTTCTTTTCGATTATTTTTGTTTTTGAAATTTTGTTGGTAGCACATGGATAACATCCGCTATGCTTTTGTCAATTTGTTAGTTTATGGGAGAAAATAAAGATTGTCAATAGAGTAAAGGGTTGCTCTGCATGGTGGCTTTGATTTTGCTGCAGAAAAGGATTTGGTTTTAAAAATATACACCAATCTTTTCTTGCTATGTTCAATATCAACAAAGTCCCGATCTCAACGCTCTGAAAGCCGTTTTTCGAATTCCTTTTGACCCGACAAGCAAGTTCTCTCTGTTTTGTTCCCCGTCTGGCCTGGGGACCTCATGAAATTCACGTTCGGGTCGTTCTTTTCTCGCCTCAAGACTTATCTCTGACGTCCTTTGGGCCTCACTTCGAAAGACGATTGGAGGCGGCTTAGAACCCGCCGACTCTCGGACGGAATGCGTCTCTGAACAGTTGCTCAAGTTTTGGGATCGTTTTTAGGACGTTCTGCTTGACTTGTCGCGACCTAACAGCATTCGGGGTATTTTTGAGCTACAACAATGTAAATTTTTGAGGAATAGCTCCAAAATTTGTGCCGATTTGGATGTAATTCGACGTTTTAAACCTCTAAAAGACTATTTAGTATATCTTTACGGCCAAAAAAGCTTAAATTTCTACCTGTTTTGATCTAATTTTCTCAAATTTCGTTCAAATTCACATGATCTTCCAGCCAGCTCTAAATTTTTAAAATTTATTCGTTTTTTGTTGTCTTATCACATTTTACTGATAAGCAAATGAGGTTTAGTGTCAGAAAGTACTCAAAAAAGGGGGAGACATCTCCTCATTAGGCTGTTTTTGAAGAAATACTTCGACATCTGGCCTAAAAATCAGATGTCCTTTGGGGTTTGGCGGATCACTGGTCTATTTGTTCTTCCTGCAGCAGTGTTTTTTATTCGGTTTGTCTCGAGAGAGGTCTGAGAATGCCTGATGGGGTTCGGAAAGCGAAAATCCTGTCTTCCGAGATTGTTTATCAAATTATATTGTTTTATTCATTTTTTGCTTTATTTAATCCGAAAATACAGTGACACGGACCTGATCCAGTGGCAAAAAACGAATCATTTGCATCCGGGAAATATCAAAAAATGTGGCAAACTGCCTCCCCCTCCAACTAAAAAAACTCGGTTTTGAAGGGTGCGCTTTTGAAATCAGAGTTTTTTACTTGGAGAGGAGGTATTTTGCGACATTCTTTGATACTTCCCGGATGCAAAATGGTACGCTTTTTGCCTCTGGATCAGGTCCGTGTCACTGTATTTTCGGACTAATCAACACAAAAAATGACTAAAACAATATATTTTTTTACCAAAAAATAAAATTCAAGATTTTGATGTCTTTTTGTCACGAAAACCTTAAAAATGTTGTTACTAATCGAAAGCAAAAAGAATTTTTTATTTTGGACTTATTAAAAAAAAGATATGACACAATTTGTAAAATTTGCTGAAATTTGAATTTTTGGGATAGCGTTTTAACGCTTTGCCAAAAATATGGCTTTTTTTGTTTTTTGTTAGAATATAATGTATTTTATCAAAATATTTTCAACAATGGATAAAGCCGCAAAAAAAATATGTAAAAAAATTGGTTTAAAATATACTAACATATTTAGGTTACTTTCATGGTAACTTATGGTAACGTTTGATAACTTTTATAAGAATAGCATATATACAGAAAAAATCCTCTTAAAATTTACTACTATATACCTTTTTCCATTTTTGAATTGAGCTATCCTATAAAAAAATACGAATAAATTTAAAAAACCGCAAGAACTTTTTTTACAATCTAATAATTTGATAAACAATCTCGGAAGACAGGGTTTTCACTTTTAAAATCCCTTCAGACATTCTCAGACCTCTCTAGAGACAAATCGAATAAAAAACACTGCTGTAGGAAGAACAAGCAGACCAGTGATCCGCCAAAACCCATAGGAGGTTCGATTTTTAGGCCAGATGTCGAAGTTTTTCTTCCAAAACAGCCTAATGAGGCGATTTCTGCCACATTTTTGAGTACTTATTAACACAAAAAATGACTAAACGATATAATTTGATAAACAATTTTGGAAGACAGTGTTTTCATCTGAATCAGGTCCGCCACTGTAGCTTTATATCTCCTGGAATGTCATTTGCAGCCTCTAACTGCTCTCTTGTTTCAGTTTTCCGCCACATTTGGCCCAAACTAAAATGGGAATTGTTGAGAATTTGGTCGCCAGCAACAGCGTCATGCCCTTCGGCATGCCCCGAAAAGCCGAATGTGCCGGTAAGCCGAATAACGAGCTTTGTTTAGACGGAATGAGAACGTGAGTGAGCCAAGAGCCCATTGAGATTGGAATTATTTTATCGAATTTATATTGTTTTATATTACTCATGTCATATCCTTGAATTTTATTGTATGTTGAAGTATAAATATGTATATGACAAATGGTTTGTCGTGTTTTTTACCCATCACTAACTTGGTTTATCCACAATAACAAGATATTTTAATTGTAACACAGTTGTTTTTGTCTGTTTTTGAGGGATTTTTTGATGGAGTTACAATGGCGGACCTGATCCAATGGCAAAAAAATGCCATTTTGCATCCGGGAAGCATCAAAAATGTAGCAAAATACCTCCTCTCCAAGTGAAAAAACTCCGGTTTGAAGAGGCGCCCTATCCCTCACAAAAAGAGCCTTTGAAATCGGAGTTTTGCACTTGGAGAGGGAGGTATTTTGCTACATTTTTGATACTTCCTGGAGGCAAAATGGTACGTTTTTTGCCACTGGATCAGGCCCGCCACTGTAGAGGGGTTCAATTAAAATTATTTTTTTATGACCTGAGGGCGTAGAGGGTTTAAATTCATGAGATTTTTGGGTTACTAACAAGGATTACAAATTTTTTTGATTGAAAAATTTGGCTTTTTTAGCGAAATCCGGAATTTTTTTTCAAAGTTTTGGCAAAAATCGCGGTAAATACACAGTAATCCAGTAAAAATAAAGTAAATTTAATTTTAAAGGGGCTTTGGTTCAGCAGCAGTCAAAAAAACCCCTGGTTTTACCAGGCAGATCCACATCAAAACCTAATTTTTTTATTTGGTTTTTTTCGCCTACTCCCGCCTCCAAATTCAAAATTCCTCCTCTCGTTTTTTATTCTTTTTGTCGAGAGTATTATTACACGCGAAAAAACGTGGAATTTTGGTTGTTATCCGCTTGTTTAGGAAAGAATTTCAGTTGGATACCACATTTTCGGTTAATTTTTTGATTTTTGTGGAAATTTGATGGCAAATTTAATTGAAATAAGGTTTGAAAATTAGTTGATTGTTCAATTTGGCATTAGTATTTAGCGGGACTATTAAAATTTTTAGCGTTCCGCGATATTTTTTATATTAATTTAGACATTGATTACTAAAATTTCCTTGTTTTAGCCTGAAATGCCAAATCAGCTGTCCTAATTTGCGTCCTAATTGTGTGACTGTCCCAAACCAGTGCCTAATCAAGTCTAATTCACATATTTTTGTCATTGTATATACCTGTACAGACTAATTTATTGACCTAATCAGCTAATTTATTCTCATATCTGTTGTTGTCTAAATATTCTCAAAATTATATTAGCTTTGTCGAAAAAGGTAAATAATTTTCGTATTTTACCCGGTGCAAAAAGTTGAAGTGATTTGGAGGAGGAGAAGAACAAGGATTTATATTACCCATCAGATCACACACCTAGAAAGAAACGAATTTCTTGAAGTGAAACTGCAGCGATGACAAGTGAAACCGAGACCAAATTGATCCTCCCGCTAGGCCATTCCAAGCACCGCGACCCCTGGTACACGTACAGCGGGGTCTTTGTTGTCGCGGCCACCTGGCTTTACCTCTATTTCTTCTGTTTCATCGGGCTTTGGGACGGAATTGTCGACCTCCTATGGCACTCACCGGCCGCTCACGTTCTCACCGAAGTCGTAATGGACACTGTGACACAGAAACTTGCAGGATCCGGAAGCGGAACCGTCGAATTCGCCAGCGGCAAATACTACGCACTGTGCGGTCTGAGCGGAATTTTGTCCTGCGGAATTACCCACACTGCGATTGTACCGTTGGACATGGTCAAGTGCAGAATTCAGGTAAGGATTTTTGGGAGATATGATATTGAATTTATGAGGAAAACGGTGATTTTGGGCCATCTTATACGATCAAACATGTCTTGTGGCGATATCGCCTTTTTTGAGCTGTAAATTACGGTAAACCCTCTCCGGGTTGATATAAAATGTATTGTTCGAGTATATTGGATCTTGTGGTACTTGAATTTAGCCAAAATTTGACGTTGATACCATGCAACAACGATAAAAACCCAACGATTTCATGAGATTTTTCAATGGTCTTTTCAAGTTTAAACTTTCAGGTAAACCCTGAAAAATACAAGGGAATCGTTGGTGGATTCCGCACCACCATCGCCGAAGAAGGAGTCCGCGCCTTGGCCAAGGGATGGGCCCCGACTTGCATTGGATACTCACTCCAAGGGTTGGGAAAATTCGGTTTCTACGAGGTCTTCAAGGTGTTCTACTCGGATCTGATTGGACCTGTAAGTTTAGTTTGACTTTGTTTTTGGTTATTTAGGAGAACGTGACATTTTATACGATGGAACATTTTTTTTAAAATTTATCGTATAAAATGTCGCTGTAGAATAATGATTTGTGGAAGACTCTCTGACGTTTTGGATGGATTCTAGCGAGTGTATTTTGACGAATAATGCAGATTTTTCTTTCAGGAACTCAGCTACACCTGGCGCACCTCTCTTTATTTGGCGGCGTCCGCCTCGGCCGAACTCTTCGCCGACGTCCTCCTCGCCCCCATGGAAGCCACCAAAGTGCGAATTCAAACCGCCGCCGGAGCCCCGCCAACCCTCCGTGGCTGTGTTCCGTTCATCTACAAGAACGAAGGCCTCACCGGCTTCTACAAGGGACTCCCCCCACTCTGGCTCCGACAGATCCCCTACACCATGATGAAGTTCGCTTGCTTCGAACGCACCGTCGAACTCCTCTACGCACACGTGGTCCCCAAGCCCCGGGAACAATGCTCCAAGTCCGAACAGCTGGTCGTCACGTTCATCGCCGGCTACATCGCCGGAGTTTTCTGCGCCATCGTCTCGCATCCGGCCGACACGATCGTTTCGAAGCTAAACCAAGACTCCGGAGCTTCTGCGGTAGATATTCTGAAGAAACTGGGCCCACTCGGCGTCTGGGGCGGCCTGTTGCCTCGTATCATCATGATCGGAACCCTCACCGCCCTCCAATGGTTCATCTACGACGCCTGCAAAGTCGCCTTCAATCTGCCCCGACCCCCACCACCATCCATGCCCGAATCGTTGAAAAAGAAGCTAGGACAGTAGATTTGTTACTAGGCACAGAAATAAACAAAGAAAATTTGAGATGGACGCGAGATTTGACGAATTTTTTGAGGTATATTAGATTTGATGGGTAAGGTAAAGTAAAATTGGTAAAATTGAAGGAATTAATGGTTGAATGACTTCAAATTGAACTTTTAAAAATTGCCGACCACATGTTTGAATGATTGATTGCGAAAAAATCGGGTAATTGGCTTTAATTTCAAGAAAAAAATCGGAGTTTAATGTCATTCATTGTTGAATCAAATGAGAACAGGAAACGAGCTGAACGATTCAAAAACAAGTAAATTAAAGGTCAATGGAAGCGCATCGTTCCACAGTTGATAAGCAGTATAAATTTCGATTTTGTCCTACACTCATCCGCTGAATTCATTTGCAACCTGCGCGAGTCTCGGGCGCAGCATGCGGAAAAATAATTTTTATTTTGATGGAAAAATATTTTTGCTTTGCCAAAACAGGACATGGCAGATGGTTGTTTGCGATTATCTTGGCCAATTTTCCGCTCTTTGGCTTTGAATTTTCGCCGGAAACGATAAACGAACATTTCCATGGGGAATATGCGGACTTTCCGAGATTTCCTCGTAGTTTGTGGAGAGTTTTTCTCTTGGAATTCGAAAATTTAGATTGTAAGTGTTGTTTTTGTGGTTTGTTTTGTAATTTTAGGTGAATGCGTGGGTCATAAATTATGGTTTGATTGAGTTTGCTGATTCGGTTTGCCCTTTTTTGGCATCACTTATTTATCAAGTGGAGCTCTCGGTTATGGAAAAGTGAAATACGTTTTTTGTTGTTCTTCGTTGTCGAAAAGACGCTAAAATAATTAATTTACTTATTTGCTGAAGAAATAGTACTATTCCACTGATTTGCAAACAAAACTTTATATTGTACTACCAGCTAGATAATGGATTTGTTTTGATGCTGTTCCCGTGTTGTTTACCTGTAAGTGGTATCACGACTTTATGCAAAGAGCTAAAGCGGACTTTTATTAACCTTTGAAGATTAGTTTTCTATTCAAATACCTTGGTTTTCCAGCAATTTTACATTGATTTAGATGGAGCTGTGCTTTTTGTTGTCGATAACAAAGTTTGACCCTGTTGATACGCAAATTTTCTAGAATTAATGATTTAATGGTAGTTTGGGGCTTCTATTACATTTTGAACTTTAAGTTAGCCCTTTTTTGGTTCAATTTCCTTTATTTTTTACGTTTTTCTCATGGTTAATATAAAAATTTGTATCTAAAACAATATTTTCGATGTTTTCAAGGGGCAATCTGCTCGTTAACTGTAAACATAACTATTTTATGTCCCAATGGGACTTTCTACATGATAATCTCAAGCCTTCGGTCCACTTGAACTTTTAAACTTTGGCCCAAACCGCTCTGTTTTCCAGTCTCAATCATGATTTTTTTTGCCCAATTTTCTGTTTGAAACTCGATTGTTTTATTGGCGTGAGGGCTGTTCCGAGTTTTTTGTGGCCAGCAATTTTTTTCCGGTGGGCCCATTTTTTGCACACGGCTGGAAATATTATCACCGACAGACGTTTCGGCCGCCTACGCCGGGGATTGGGGGGTTATCAGAATAACTGTTTGAATTTGATCGTGATTATCGGTGTGTGCTTTTTGCTTTGCTCTACAATATTTTATTTTGATATTAAAATAAAATATTGTTAAGGTTTTGATATTGACTTGTAATATTTTAGGTCCTGAATGAGTGATGTCTCGGTTGGCCGAGTTGGCGCTCAAGTCGAAAGTCATAAATGAATTGGTTTTCAAATGGAGTACGATTACTTGGTAAGTCTTTTCTCTTTGTTTTGCCTTGGTTTTTAGGATTTTTTTGGATGATCTTGGTTCAAGATACCTACATTTATACAAAGTGTGTGTACACAAATAATCTGAGGCCTTAAATCAAGATGTAAAATTGTTTTGGATGTAAAAGACGGATTTCTTTTATGCTTAGCTATAATTTTAGGGATTTATGAGTAATTCAAGGTTTCGTGGCGGGACTTAAATTGGATCCAAATAATAGTATAGTATTTTTTCTGACATCTTATGCAGTTGAAAATTGTATTTGGCGTATTTTACCTTATTGTTTCGGCTTTCTAATATTGTACCCATTCATTTTTTAGCCTTCCGTATGTTGCTCTGGACACAGCGACTGGAATACTTCTAATGTATGTGCTGGTCGCCTCCGGGATCTTCGAACGCCTCTATCCCTTTATAACGACAAGTGTGGACAATCTTGACTATGTGTTTGAATGGTTGTTGAACAATCCAGCTGGTCTGAAACTCAATACACAAGTCAATGTTCTTCTGGCGTCATTTTTCAGATATCATGTGCATCTATGGAAAGGTAAGTGGTTTTATTTGATTTTTTTGTTGATGTTTAGGTCTGATGATGGGATTGGAATTAAAGTTTGAGAATTTGGGAGAACATTTCATGGATTTCGTGGAAAAATCACTTATTTTTGAAATTTTAGGTATACTGGATGTAAAATAGGTTGAAATTCAGTTCTTTTGATGATAATTGCAAAGATTAGAGGCTTTAGCTTCTATTTCAGTTTATTTGCAGCAAATTAGGTTTTAGAATCGACAAATTTTTCCGATATTTTACTTGACTATCTAGTCTAATATAAATTTTTGATATTTTCCCAATTTTTTAAACATTTTTTTGCTTCCAGCTTACATATCCATGCTGTGTTCAACGAGTTTCCTCCATATCCTCTATATCGGAGCGGCTAGTGGCGCCACTGTCCTCATGGCTGCCCTCCACGACCTCATTTCCCTGGCGACAATTCATCTGTTTTGCTTCCACATCTACACTTCAAGATTGGCCAATGTGTTCTTCAGGTCATTGGGCACGTTTTGGAGGGCGTTTCGAGGGAAAAAGTGGAATCCATTGAGGAATCGAGTCGATTCTCTTCAACTTGATGACCGCCAGATGTTCATGCTGACGACTTTGTTCATTGGTACGGTGTTTTTGCTGCCGACGGTGCTGATTTACTATGCTGTCTTCTTTTCGGTGAGTGCGAATGGGATTAGGGGGATTTTGAAAACTTTTTGGATGATATTTTGGGTCTTACCACGAAGACCCTGAAAGGCAGGGCGGTGTTGTCAAGATGACCGGTAATGGAAGTAAAGGGTGGAATATAAGTTAATAAGAGGGTTTATAGCTTTTTGAAGTGACCAGAATTTTTCTGCATCCAAAAAATTTGAATTATAGCGAAGATTTCCTTTATTTTACAAGGAAAGTACTGCTAGGGGGTATGGAGTTACAGGTCGAGACATACATCAATAAAATCGCAAAATTTTTCTGATTCAGAATATGCAAAAATTAGCTGCCCAATTTTGGTTTGTAAGGGCGAAAAAACCCACAGAACTTTTCTCGCAAATGCCTTTTTGACCGAGTTTTTAACAATTCCAAAAAAAATTTTTTTTTTGAGCTGGAGTAAACCCTGGTATCTTGACAAGCCTAAAAATATCATGCCCTTTTTTATATTGGAACTACTAATTAAGGTGTAGTATTATTCAAATTTGATATTGTAAGGCTTGTCAAGATTCCAGGGTTTACTTTAGCTCAAAACAAAACTTTTGAATAGGTAAAAACTTCGTCAAAAAGGCATTTGCATGGTGTTGCGAGAAAAGTTCTGAGGGTTTTTTGCCCTTACAAACCAAAATGGGGCGGCTAATTTTTACATATTCTGAATCAGAGAAAAAGAAGGTTTTTTTGATGTATGTCTCGACCTGTAACTCCATACCCCATAGAAGTACTTTGCTTGTAAAATAAGGGAAATCTTCGCTAAAATTCAAATTTTTTGAATGCGAAAAAATTCTGGTCACTTAAAAAAGCTATAAACCCTCTTATTAACTTATATTGCACCCTTTACTTCCATTACCTGTCATTTTTAAAACATCGCCCTGCCTTTCAGGGTTTTCGTGGTAAGACCCAAAATATTACCCAAAAATTTTTTTTAAAAGCTTTTTTAGCTCTGGTCTCTCCCATTTTCCACCCAATACACCCTCGACTTCTTGATCAGCCAGTTCCGAAAACTGGCCAACTTTTTCGACCATCCCGAACTCCAACCACCCGACGAACCACCTCTTCCACCGGAAAATTCACTGAAAACAAAGCCCAAATGCCCGATGAAGGTGAGCAAACCAGAAGAAGGGGAGAATGCCCCGCTGGAACCAACCCGCGGACGCTCCATCGACCGCACAGCAGCCCTCAGACCCCGACCAATACGACCGCCGCAAGTCCGAAATCATCGAAGTGTTGCGGACCCCGAGACTACGATAAATTACTGTGAAACGAAAGAAATCCGCTTCAAAAATCGAGTGGGTCCAACCCCCAAAATGCTCAAAGTCGCCTGATCTCATCGCAATATTTGATAGTCATTTTTATTTTCGAAAACGTTGTATATAGCTGTCGATAACGAGTAAATTTAATTTAGCTTTGAATTTGACAAGGAAAGTACTTTTATGGGGGCTCCTACTTTTTGACGGGACATACCTCAAAAAATCAGAAAAAATGTGCTGATCAAGGATATATAAATCTTATCTGCCCATTTTGGGCTTTTAGGGGTGAAAATGCCCAAAAACTGGCTCAATTTCCCTACAAAAGGCGCATGCCAGACATGGCAAAAGGGGCCGGGCCCGGCCCGGCCCTTTTCAAAATTTTCAAAGCCCGGCCCGGCCCCGGGGCACCTTCGGCCCGGCCCGGCCCTGAGGGGTCTTACGGCCCGGCCCGGCCCTCAAAGGTCTTAAGGCCCGGCCCGGCCCTTTTTTTCATTACTCTAAATTTTGCATTTTAATTGCTATTTTTTTTTGTTTTAAGATGTTACCACGAAGTTTTCGGTGTTTTACTTGATACAAACGGCCAGCGGTTTCGATATAGGACCAATAATGATGAATAATTGGAGAATTTTTATCCAGATGTCATGGATAATATAATTTACCTTCTCAAATGCAAGACATTGGTTTTTCCTGGAGTCTGGCGATGGATTTGACAATCAAATGGCCTGTCTGATGTTTTCAATTTACTTTCACGACCTTCTTACCTGTGATTCAATTTTCCATCTTCCAAAAAATCAAAAAATCATCAAAAATCTCAAAAACGTGTAGAAAACATGAATATTATTTTTAAATCATCAATCTTCTTGTGGTTCTTATATTCTTATTACATTTCCAACATGTCAACACTTTTTACGCCGCTCAATTCGTCCTAGTTCGGACGAAATCATCATGGATAATATCGGGGAAAACTCAGAAAATCGTTCAAAAATCAATATCAAGCTTCAGAAATAGTTCTAAGTTTCACATATTCTCATTCCCCAAGGACTGCTGGACATTTTCCACTAAAAATTAAAATTTTGATTTTTCTACAGTAATCCATCTACTACGGTAACTCATAGTATGATGGACGGAAAAATTTAAAAATTTGCACAGAGAATTTTCATGCCGTGAGTTATAATTTCGCCAAGTTTCATCCAAATCCATGGACCGCTACCAGAGTTATTGAAGATTATATTTTCCAAAAACTCCTTTTTTGAACCTTCAAAATCGGTTTTTCATCCTTATAGTAACTACTGGGCACATTTTGGAAACCATATCTCATGCATAAGTCGATCGATTTTTGATTTTTAAAAAGTATTTGGACTAATTCGAGTACTGCGAGCCAAGTTATGACGTTAGTTTTTGCCCTAAGGGGTCAAATATGGCCAAAAACACAATGCCAAAATATTGCCAAAATGGCGGGAAACGGTGTTTTTGATCGAATTTGAGCGGATTTTTGTGTGTTATGGCTTTTGTATATACTTAAAAGACGATTTCTGAGTCAGTGCATCAGCCGTCTGTTAGGGGTGGACATAGGAAAAAATCGATTTTCAGTTTTTTGCACTAAAATGGCTGTTGGAAGGTGCTAAGCAAAAGCGAACAATATTTTTTCCCAAAACCTTCATCAAGGTATATTTTTTTACAATTTACTGTTTTAGAAGTAACCGCGTCCAGCTGTCGTATCTTACCTTACTGGGCGATGATTTGACGGTTACTGAAGTTTTCGACCCTTGCGATGACGATGGTATCATTATTTTTCCGATTTTCCTACTGTAACATACCGTAATACTGTATCGACCGCTAAAAAACGACCGTAGAATCTTTCTTTCTGAAAATTTCACAGGCGATTTTACGATTTTTGGAATCAGCATAAAATTCTGCTCTAGAGGCAATCAAAAAAAGTTCAAAAAAAGCTGCGACAAATTTCGCGGTATAGTGGTTAGTGGTCGGGACTACCAATCCAGCGACCCGGGTTCGAGTCCGGCTGGGTGCGAACATCGAAAAGAAGTCGGAAATTAAATTTACTGTGATTCAGAGGATTGTATATTTTGCCACGAGCAGTTATTAATGTCAATGGTAGCTGGATTCGAGGTTAAAACGGGGTTTATATAATTTTAGGGGCTCAATACATGAAAAAATAAAAGTGTTTCAAACCGGTTGAAATTGATAATACTTATTCTAAGGGCTATTCTAAGACACTTTCTCGTTAACTTTTTTTTGGTAGCTTACTGTTCCATGCACTACAGTAAGATAAAGATTTTGTACTTATGCGGGATTTTCTTCAAAATTGTTGCATCCAGTCTCGAGTTTTTTTGACTAGGTCGTTCAAACAGCAACGAAGGTCCACTATAGGTATACAAAATAAATTTCCGCTTCACTTCCAGTGTGTCTTGATATCATCGCTATTTGACAAAACTTCGTGAAATAACCCGGTTGTTTCAAACTGTGCGGCCATAAGAAAAATTTTGTATGCAAACCAACTCGTTATTAACCATCTCTATCAATATGGCGATAGTCCGAGCTGTCTACGCCCCGTGGTATGCGAAAAATAAAATTGGATTTCATGTCACAGTAATCCATGTTACAGTAAGTTACAAAAAAAGTTAACGAGAAAGTGTCTTAGAATAGCCCTTAGAATAAGTATTATCAATTTCAACCGGTTTGAAGCACTTTTATTTTTTCATGTATTGAGCCCCTAAAATTATATAAACCCCGTTTTAACCTCGAATCCAGCTACCATTGACATTAATAACTGCTCGTGGCAAAATATACAATCCTCTGAATCACAGTAAATTTAATTTCCGACTTCTTTTCGATATTTGCACCCAGCCGGACTCGAACCCGGGTCGCTGGATTGGTAGTCCCGACCACTAACCACTATACCACGAAATTTGTCGCAGCTTTTTTTGAACTTTTTTGATTGCCTCTAGAGCAGAATTTTATGCTGATTCCAAAAATCGTAAAATCGCCTGTGAAATTTTCAGAAAGAAAGATTCTACGGTCGTTTTTTAGCGGTCGATACAGTATTACGGTACGTTACAGTAGGAAAATCGGAAAAATAATGATACCATCGTCATCGCAAGGGTCGAAAACTTCAGTAACCGTCAAATCATCGCCCAGTAAGGTAAGATACGACAGCTGGACGCGGTTACTTCTAAAACAGTAAATTGTAAAAAAATATACCTCGATGAAGTTTTTGGGAAAAAATATTGTTCGCTTTTGCTTAGCACCTTCCAACAGCCATTTTAGTGCAAAAAACTCAAAATCGATTTTTTTCTATTTCCACGGCTGACGCACTGACTCAGAAATCGTCTTTTAAGATCTTATGCTTTAAATGTTGTATTTTTCATGGCAGGTTGAGGGTGTTTCATGCTGAAAGTTCTAATCTCACAAGGGAATGGTCCCAACGATCCGTGGGATCCACAAATGAAACCTAGATATTCTGAAAGAGCAGGTAAAATTTAGTAGGAATCCGTTTTTTCTACTTGCCGAATAAGTCTGTGCGACGAGAAATATCGACGAAAAGATCCGACCAAAAAATCGAAAGAGAGAAAAGACGAACCGAAAGGCCTTGGAAGGCGTCACCAAATAGTCTAGTGGAAAAAGTTCCACGCACGAATCTTTTGGGGAAGGGAGGCCTTGGAGGTTCGAGTCCACCCGGAGCGGATATCTCCGGCTTGAACCCAAGTGTTCATCATTACTGTGTTCTACAGTTATATAAAAATTTTTTTTGTTTATTGACCTGTTTTACAGGGATTGTTGCATCGAGCCGTAACAAATTCTGTTCATTACGTCTTTCTATGATACCACCAGGTCCGAAGTTCCAAAAAAGACAAATTTATGCAATTTTATACCTTCCGGGCAGAATTTGGGAAGAATAGTTTGGGAACTTGTTAAACACATGTCCACGGCCATCTTAAACCAAAAAACTCAAAATCGATTTTTTCGTAAATATTCACGCGATCTACTACACGCTCACGCAAGGACCCAAAAATTCTCTTTTCAACTTTTCTTGCAAAATTTTATGAAAAGTTGAGATTTTGGCAACATCCTTTTTGGGAAACCGAAAAAGATCTGCAAGACCCTATACAACCTTCCAGAAAGGAGTATAAGTGTCTTGAAAATAAAATATTGCCGAAGTGTCAACTTTTCTTAAAATTTTGCAACAAACCCTGTAAAACAGGTCAATAAACAAAAAAATTTTTTGCATAACTGTAGAACACAATAATGAATACATAGGTTCAAGCCGGAGATAACCGCTCCGGGTGGACTCGAACCTCCAAAGCTTCCCTCCCGCAAAAGATTCGTGCGTGGAACTTTTTCCACTAGACTATTTGGTGACGCTTTCCAAGGCCTCTCGGTTCGTCTTTTCTCTCTTTCGATTTTTTAGTCGGATCTTTTCGTCGATATTTCTCGTCGCACAAACTTATTCGGCAAGTAGAAAAGACGGATTCCTACTAAATTTTACCTGCTCTTTCAGAATATCTAGGTTTCATTTGCGGATCCCACGGATCGTTGGGACCATTCCCTTGTCAGATTTTTAAGCAGAAAGTGGAATATCTCACCACGTTGGAACGTTAAAAATAAAAAAATAACGCGAATGTGCTGCTCAGACACTTCTTCAACTATTTTAATCATGTAACCGCCAAGATCCGTTCAAAGAAAAACTTTCCCGCCATTTTGGCAATATTTTGGCATTGTGTTTTCGGCCATATTTGACCTCTTAGGGCAAAAACTAACGTCATAACTTGGCTCGCAGTACTCGAATTAGTCCGAATACTTTTTAAAAATCAAAAATCGATCGACTTATGCATGAGATATGGTTTCCAAAATGTGCCCAGTAGTTACTATAAGGATGAAAAACCGATTTTGAAGGTTCAAAAAAGGAGTTTTTGGAAAATATAATCTTCAATAACTCTGGTAGCGGTCGATGGATTTGGATGAAACTTGGCGAAATTATAATTCACGGCATGAAAATTCTCTGTGCAAATTTTTAAATTTGTCCGTCCATCATACTATGAGTTACCGTAGTAGATGGA